GTTGTATGAGTGAACATGTGAACCTCATCTGGCTCTGTTTATCCCGGGCTAATTGTCAGTACTGTCCTTAAGAGGATAATGAGTACATACTGATGTTATTCTATCACAATTACTGTGGAATTTAAGTTAATAGAGGAGAGTGGACATTACAAAGGATGAACGTAATCTGATCCACGATCCATCACTATACTCTCTTTGGACTTGTATGCCTGGATGACCGGTGATGCACTTTTTCTGGACTCCAAACAAACAAAACTGGAAGGACATGTGTTTTTATTTCTACTCATGTTGCTATGCTGGTGTATTTACTTGTCCATCCCAAATAAAGATACAATTTAAAAGTTATTTTTCATATTATCATAAATGCATCTGCTTGGACCCACCATCAAACCGCCTGGCTGGTTCCAGGCTGACCATTCCATAGAGCTGACAGCAGGGCACTGGTTGGATGGGAGGTGACTCCGGAAATTACTAAGTATCTCTATTAGAATCAGGAATTATTTCCATTGGCCAACGGTTGTATGAGTCTCAAACTGAATTTTCTTTTTGCTTGCTTTAATTCCAAACAGGAGTTTTTCTGTTGAGATAAAGACTCATTCATTGTGAGTTTAACTGTGGCTTTTGTATGGAGAACTGACTGTATAATACACTGTGGTGGACTGTTTTTTTTTTGTGTATTACTCTCACTACCAGCGGGGACGATATAAGTCCTGCTTGTTAATACTGGTGTTAGTTTTAATCAGAGTCATTTTCAAAAGACTTTAATTATTTATTATATTTATCACAGTTTGGATGTTTGATGATGATTGCATTAATGTAGTCATGTTTTCGTCAATGCATGTTTGATTTTCTGTCAAGTACTTTTATTAAAATCTTTACTGTGACATTTTGTCAGACACTCTGTAGTAATGACTGAAGTTTGTCCTTAGGCAGTTACAAGAATATTGCTATACCCTATGTCCTATGAATTTAAAAAAGATTATCATATAGAACTTTCAAGTGAAGTATACCTGTGTTTTTAAATGGAAACAAACCCTTTCTTCTTACTTGGTGTTACATTTTTAATCAATTTAATAGAAACATTAAGAAACGTAATGAAAAGGAGGAGGAGTGACTATGAAAATATGAATGAAAATAAAACTAAGCATGGAAATTGTATTGTATACTTTCAGGCACTTGGGACTGGGGGTGCGACCTACTGAGTTGTGGTGTGGTAGCGCCCTCAGCTTTATCAAAGAGGAACATCTTAATCCTACTTTTAAATATGGAGAGGGTGTCTGCCCCCCGAACCAAAACTGGAAACTTGTTCCACAAGAGAGCAGCTTGGTAGCTGAAGGCTCTGGCTCCTGTTCTACTTTTTGAGACTATAGGAACCACAAGTAGCCCAGCATTCAGAGAACGCAGTGTTCTAGTGAGTCTAGTATTAGCTTTTCTGCACTGGCTACCAGTAAAATTCAGAATAGAATTTAAAATCCTCCTGCTCACCTACACAGCTCTTCATCTCGACCTCATCTGAAAGTCAAACAGTGTGAGCTCAGAGCACAGAATCAGGTTTAAATAACACGATAACACACACACACACACACACACACACACACACACACACACACACACACACACACACACACACACACACAGACACACAGACAGACAGACAGACAGACAGACAGACAGACAGACAGACAGACAGACAGACAGTATAATAAAAGCAGCCAAACTCCACCTGCTCTATGTTCTTTCAGGATGTGTTTGTTTTCTCGGTTACAGCAGGTTCAATGTGTATTATTCAGCCAATCAGCACTTTGTGTCCACAGATCAATCAAACTGTTGAATTAATTCTGACATTTCTTTTGGAGACAAATGAGTCACACACTTTGAAAGTAACAGAATAAATATCTTGCATTAACACTCACCCTGCCTCCGCCTTCAGGTTTCTTCTCTGTCCACTCAAAATGGAGTCTGAACTAACTGAATAGTTTCACGTTGGAACTTAAATGATGTTTAACCCTTTCACACACAGTGCTCACTACAGTGGACAGCTATTCAAAAGTTCTCTTCTTGAAGATGAATGGGTTTTGATGGTATATTTGCACATCAGCTACCACAGTGGATGCTAGTGCACCATCCCACACACAGCCAACCAAGATAGCTGACTGAAAGTCAGGTAAATAAGTCAGTAACAAGGTATCAAGTAACAACTGAGAAGTAATGCAATTTTCATAATTCCAAGTATTGATTATATGTTGGGAGGAAATTATGATTAATCATCCACTAAACTGGACATCATGCATTTGCAATTCATACTATTACTGCAAATTTTAAATACTTAATCTGCAGCAACTTTTCTGGCTGTAAATCAATTAATTTATGTTATCAGACTGTGTGTATTTGTACAGATTATGTGAGCAACAATGTATTCATATTATTTATATAATAACAGTTTTGCATTGAATTAAATGAATTAAACGTGAACACATAACACAAGTATAAAATAAATATTATTAGGGACCGAGCCAGTGTCAACAGGCCCCAACGTAGTTTGATGGCGAGGTCCCGCCCAATGCAGCTGGCAGCTTTAATTTTATATATATTTACATAATATATAAGATTGGTTTTTAATATACAGTTGAGAATTGTATGTTGTAACTCAAGTGGACTTTTTAAATATACCTAAACAGTAATACAAATTCTTCCTGACTGAGGTTGTCATAATGCATGCATGAAAGGGATGCTGGTCATGTATCAGACATCATTCCATGTTCTGTGTTGTTTGCTCTGTGCACACACTCATTTCAAGGCTGAGTTCTTTCTCCTCTGCTCTTCTCCCTGTACACCAACAGCTGCACCTCCAGTCACCAGTCCGTCAGGCTACTGAAGTTCACAGATGACACCTCCCTCATTGGGCTCATCTCTGATGGAGATGATTCTGCCTACAGATGGGAGATTGACCATCTGGTGACCTGGTGCAGCCAGAACAACCTGGAGCTAAACAGTGTGAAAACAGTGGAGATGGTTGTGGACTTAAGAAAGAACCCAGCCCCACCCGCCCCCATCATCTTGTGTGACTCCCCAGTTGACTCTGTTGAGTCCTTCCGCTTCCTGGGTACCATCATCACCCAGGACCTCAAGTGGGAGCTGAACATCAGCTCCCTCACCAAGAAAGCCCAACAGAGGATGTACTTCCTGCGGCAGCTGAGGAAGTTCAACCTGCCAAAGACAATGATGGTGCACTTCTACACCGCCATCACTGAGTCCATCCTCACCTCTTCCATCACCATCCGGTACGCTGCTGCCTCTGCCAAGGACAAGGGCAGACTGCAGCGTATCATTCGATCTGCTGAGAAGGTGATCGGCTGCAATCTGCCATCCCTCCAGGACCTGTACGCCTCCAGGACCCTGCAGCGTGCAGGCAAGATTTTGGCTTGACATACACTCCTGAAGAAGAAATTCAACAAACAGCCTTAATTTACAGCAACATGTATGAACTATATCAGTCTGTATAGAAGTTAGACTGTGAAGATTTACGTCACATGACAAGTACAAGTTAGATGAGTTGTTATTATTAGGATGTGGATTTTCTACAATCTGATACAGAAAATTAGCAAAAAGATCTCATTAAGTTCAACCTCAGGGATGAAATTAAACCAGCCACAGCAGCATCCACACACATACAGTAAATACACTGAACAAAATTATAAACGTCAACACTTTTGTTTTTGCCCCCATTCATCATGACCTGAACTAAAAAATCTAAGCCTTTCTCTATGTACACAAAAGGCCTATTTCTCTCAAATATTGTTCACAAATCTGTCAAAATCTGTGTTAGTGAGCACTTCTTCTTTACCGAGATAATCCATCCACCTCACAGGTGTGGCATATCAAGATGCTGATCAGACAGCATGGGTATTGCACAGGTGTGCCTTAGGCTGGCCACAATAAAAGGCCACTCGAAAATGTGCAGTTTAACTGTTTTCAGCTTCCAGGAATTGTGTACAGATCCTTGCAACATGGGGCCGTGCATTATCATGCTGCAACATGAGGTGATGTTGTGGATGAATGGCACAACAATGGCCCTCAGGATCTCGTCACGGTATCTCTGTGCATTCAAAATGCCATCAATAAAATGCACCTGTGTTGTCCATAACACACGCCTGGCCATACCATAACCTCAACGCCACCATGGGCCACTCGATCCACAACGTTGACATCAACAAACCGCTCACCCACACGACGCCATACACGCTGTCTGCCATCTGCCCTGTACAGTGAAAATCGGGATTCATCCGTGAAGAGAACACCTCTCCAAAGTGTCAGACGCCATTGAATGTGAGCATTTGCTCACTCAAGTCGGTTACGACGACAAACTCAGGTCGAGACCCCGATGAGGACGACGAGCATGCAGATAAGCTTCCCTGAGACGGTTCCTGACAGTTTGTGCAGAAATTCTTTGGCTATGCAAACTGATTGTTGCAGCACCTGTCCGGGTGGCTGATCTCAGACGATCTTGGAGGTGAAGATGCTGGATGTGGAGGTCCTGGGCTGGTCTGGTTACACGTGGTCTGCGGTTGTGAGGCCGGTTGGATGTACTGCCAAATTCTCTGAAACGCCTTTGGAGATGGCTTATGGTAGAGAAATGAACATTCAATTCACGGGCAACAGCTCTGGTGGACATTCCTGCAGTCAGCATGCCAAATTACATTCTGTTTGTAGATGATAAAGATACAGAAAGAAATGCATGGCAAAAATAGCACAGTCAGTATTTTAGAGACCCCCCAAAATTTCACCAATGCTGTTTTGAGCTCGAGTCTTATTAAGAGGAGCCGAGCTCCCCCTGACCCCCCTGTAGTTCGCACCCTGCTGTCAACGGAGCAAGCTGTTCAGTGGACTGTTGAAGGATCCTGGCTGCCCTGCATGTGCATCTGCTACAGCAGTGCCTGAGCTCCCTTTAATGAGTAAATGAACTGACCGATGGATCAACAAGTACACAGGACCAGCCAGCATATTTTCAGAAATGTTGTTTAATCCATTTTTTGCGCAAAGTTGTATCATACTGACTGACAGCGGACCTGCTGTAGAAGTGGTTAGTCAAAGCTCAGTCTGACAATCAATAAATTAACTGGCTGCAGAGTACCCATGGCATATAGAAACACAGCAAATTTTACTTTTATTGGTCAACAGGACTAACCACCAAATATTATATAATTTCATTGATCGTATGTGTTGAAAGAAATACCGTCGTAATGGCAGAGTACGGTTCACACTCACGTACATTACATTCATGTCTCTGCAGCAACATTCGTGGTTGATTAAAGTTGCTCTGCCTAATTTGTCTCCCTCAAATCATTAGTGTGAGGAGCTGAGGAGGAAGAGATGAGTGAAGGGAATGAGGACAAGGCTAATGATCATATACACTCTGAACATGTATTGAAATGCATCATACACAGGGCTTGTGTGTCAAAGCGGTGTAGCCGAATAATCTATCAGGAAGCCACATCCCATGACATTGTACACCAAAAGATCTGTTTTCATATGTGCCATGTGACATAAAAAAAATAATAAGGGCTGGGACTTGAACAAAACCCATCCATTTCATTTATTAACAGTCCTACTTGTCTGTTTTCTGAAAGAAATGCAAAATTGAAGTAAGAAAAACCTGACATCCAATAAAGTTATTTACAAAATGTTAGCACTGTGAGTTTCTAGGACATTTCTGGAGATCATAAAAGGTTACATGCAAATTTTGCGAGACAGCTGCATTTAACTAACAGAACATACAATCAACAGAACATACACCAACCTATATAATAGATACTAACTTGCAACCTTTACATAAAGTTCCACTGGGGGTAAAAATATAAAATGTAGGCCTGCTCTATATAATTCACAGTAATAGTGGCCTGTCCATCATGACTTGCGTTTTCTGATACACCCGTGGATGGTATGATAGCAGAGATAAGATAGGGCTTTAGCGGGAAGAATATATTTGGTAAAAACATACACTGAACTTTAAATAGGGTACACAGATTTCTTTTATGTCAACCATTTGGCTATGCACTGAGTAACAGAGGAATTAAGGAAAAATGTCAAATGTTAGCATTAGACTGGCATTTCAAATGACGATTCTTACTAAAATGACATTCAGTCTGTAATCTTCTCCTGTTACAAAATAATCTCATCACAAAACCAAAACAAAGGTACTTTTAGTTTGCACTGAGTCATAATCAGTCAGCTTATACCAATAATGACATTTCAAGGTGTCAACTTCTTTCCTCTTTTTAAAACACGCAATTTGCAGAATTGTAAAATGTATAAATACAGCGCTCCCTTGGCATCGGTGTCGACTCCAGCTCAGTATCCCTACTAACTGTGTCCATACAGCTCTTTGTTTTTGTGTGGTACACACTCCAGATGGAAGGCAAGAAGTGATTTTCTACACTGGAAGAGCTATTGCAAGCTCTCAAAATGTCTTTTTTGTGCAAGCCAGTGGTTCCCCCCGTTTGGGGTCTGGACCCCCACTGGGGGTCGCCAAAGCTTCATGGGGGGGTCGTAAGGCCTTTTAGATTTTGAGGGGTGTAAGAAGTGAAGTGAAGAAAAATATACACAGTAGGCTCACTTCTGTGAAGAAATGTAAATGTAAATTGTCGCACAGAACAATGGCCAAGCATCAGGATCAAGAAAACACTGAATTTGTCCCAAAAAAAGAAGCCTATTAAGTCTGTATGATTGTTAAAAATGATTTAAAAAATACATAATACAGACAGAATTGTATAAAAAAAAACACAAACTTCCTGCAGTTACTTAGTTCACTGTTTGGGTTCATTGTACAGTTTTTAATATAATATGAAATATCCATAAAATATGTTACTTAGTGAGGGGTCATCAGTTTATGATAGAAAAGGGTCCCTTAAGGAAAAAGGTTGGGAACCACTGGCATAAGCGACGAGGAGCTTTTATCAAGTACCAAAAGTTGTTTTCCAAAAGTTTTTTCTAAAGGAGTCTGGTGGCCACATAATGAATTCAGTTCCGCAACAGAAAGGGCAAGTCTTTGAATTCAGTTGACAAATCCTGAATCACTTTAAACACATGCGTTGTGATTCTGTTTGTACCTTTCTCTAAAATATCATTTAAACGAGTACAGCACAACCTCCATCTCAGCCATTCTGCTGTCACTTCCTGCCCTCCATCTGAATTTCATGTGACTGCAAAAAAAGCTACTGGAGGATTATGCACATGGCGATTTAAGTCAAATGCCAATGTAGAAAGTAGTGTGTCTTTTATGCAGGTACTCAAGCAGTGAGTGTATGGAGGTCAGAATAAATTATGGGCATGTGTCTGACTCTGATACAGGAGGCTAGAAATGGCATCCAATCACAGACCTGCAACTGACTTTAGCTCATTTATTAAACATAACCAGTCTCACTCCAATCACAACATACTAGTTAGTGCTCAGATATTGCAGAAAGCAACAATTAGAAGGATGTTGCTGAACATAATGCAGGATCGTCCAATAATGACAGTCTGTTGGGTGATAAGGTTCGTCGACTCTCGTTTTTGTTTAACGTTGCACTTGAACACAGCACAGAAACAGCCTACAGCCACTTGGCCAACAAGCATGGAAACATGGTAGCCCGGCAGTAGTGGTCTGTATTCCTAATTCTAAATATCACAAGATGAACAAATCAAAACAAGTTCACCATTTTGACTCCACCGTTAATCCAATTAAACACTTTTAAAAACTGCTACTGGAACTGAGTTTTGCTTTGCATTGGCACAGTGTTTTTCCTCTGCAAGAAAATGACAGGTAGAGGCAAATATATGGATAATCTGCACTAAAGGGTGAAATCAGTGATTTATTATCAACTTCTTATAATACATGATCAGTTAGCTGTTGATAAAGGGTGACACCACACAAACTACAGTAGAGGGGGGGCTCGACGGCACTTAATGGCAGACTCTTGGCTAACTATGTCAAGAACTTTAATTACTTAATGTTTAATTTCTGAAGCTTGCTGACACTGCAACACTAATGAACAAAAAAAAGTTGTTAAAAAAAAACAAGCGGTATGGGATGAATGTGTACAAACCCGTATAAGCTACTCATCTCCTGACACAGCTATACATGATCTCAGATGAGCCGAGTTATTGTATCACCAGCCTTGTTGAAACCCTGCAGCCTGGAGAAAAAATAAATCCAGTTTAGGTGAGAGTACAGCTAATTTAATCTGAGGCCACTGCATGAGGCTATCATGTCGACATAAAGCAGTCTCCATGATTCCATGCCAAAGATTTGGTGCTGTTCAGGGGGGCATCCAAAAAACAAGAAGGTGTGCCTTATAACTGAGTGTATTCCATGACTGCAAAGTTATCATCAGTAATACTGTCAACACATGCTTCTCACAGGCTCCCACCAAACCTAACGTCACCTGTTGATCCACCTCATTCCATGGATACCATATATATATATATATATATATATATATATATATATATATATATATATATATATATAAATAAAAACTCACCTTTTGGCTAGTTTAAGATGACACTGTAAACATTGTCTTCTGCCACTAGAAGCATATCACTGTTTAAGATCTGCACTAAACTGTAGAGGATTTACATGCTATATACCTTACTATTATGTGTGGCCTGCACAGTACTATTTTTTCCTGTTTCAAACCCTAAACAAAACAATCCCCAGTTCGGTTGCTGGATGCCTGTGGAGCCTTAGAGAGAAAGATACCGTGAGGAAGTGATTGCAACACCTGCTTTTACTGCTTTTTAAGGAGTCATTAATCCCCAAACCACTTAAGATTTCCAGCTGAAATCCTATGTGTATGGGTATTTAGTAGTGTTGATCGACTGATTCAGGTCCAAATCTGGACATTTTTGTGCAAACTATTTGAATTCGACATATTGCAATTTCACTATTGGCTGATCTGGAGACAGGTGACGTTGCAGCTTTTCATTACCAGCTGCTCCCTCCTATGAAAGCAACATCTCACTCTGCAGACTGTGGCCTGCTACGTAGCCTGACAGACACCAGAGAGTTAGCATGTCTCAGCCGCTAGCCGCTACTAACGGTACAACACAGGTAGCACACAGAAACTTTTACAAACTAATTTGCTTCTAGTGACTGTGTTTCCAGCACGGACACAGAAGGTCTGACAGCAGCGGCTTGTGGCTGGTTAGCTCAGTTAGCTCTGGTTGGTATTACCTCCTGTGTCATACACTCTGTAGCCACAAGGCCATGCGGCCACTACTTGATTCTCTCTGCTGCATTTTTTATTTGCTGGGAGGGAGAGCTAGCAGAAGTTAGAGGTTTATTACAGTTTAAGTACGTGACCATCCTCATCCACCAGAGGGGCGTGACACATGCAAAGAAAAGACTGCTAAGGATTTAATGTGGCAGTTCAACTACAGCTGGGTGAAATATTTTCACAAAAACAAGCCCTGTGAATTATTTCGATTTGTTCTGGCATCTTACTACAGGCACGACTGAAATGACTCAACACTGGCTGTGAGTTTTTTTACCTGCTGTTGAATTGTTATTGAGTGCCATTTCAAACGTTCAGTGTTATATGATGAGTGAACACAAGTGAGAGGCTGAGTGAGCACAGGACCAGAGGTACAGGCTGACAATGAAACTGGCAATGATTTGCAAATGCACACAAATCTAAAACACCAGACAATGACTCAATGTTTCATTGGATAAGATTTGACACATTAGAACGATCCACAACGTTTTAAATATTGGCAGTGACTGAACTGAAATGTCAAATTAGGCCAGAATCACAGCTGCTGGTAAGGAGCCATGTTGTAAAACAACTTAGTTAAAACAAAGCCGAGACACAATGACATAAACAGTGATCAAATATGAGCCAAAAGACAGACTCTACAGACAAGGAGTCTACAAGTCTTGGGAAAGTAGCATAATAAGCTGAAAGAAATAGAAAAACTAATTTTAAGTCAACTACAAGCTGCGTCTTTCTATAACATACAGAACACTGTCTCATTGGGTTAATCCAATCAATCTGTAACGTACCTGGAAAACCTGGAAAAAAGATGAACCAGTTTGACAATAAGGTACAACTCCCACTGGGAGTAACTCAGCGTTGAGCATGTTTCCTGTATTGAAAATAACTACACTTCTGAAAAGGGGTGAAGAGTATCATTAGAGTTAACAAATGTGTTTCAATGTGCTAACATACCAGAAACAAGAAATTATCAATGCACATATGAATTAGCATACAGCTCAACATTTAAATTAGTGTCAACCTGTATGCATCGCCTGCTTCTCTTTGCTAACATAGTTCCCAGTCACCTCGCATGCTACGCTTAGGGGTGCCGAGTAGATACCTTACGACCTCAGCTCTCAAGGAATTAACGCGGTGGCTTGAAGTTCTTTAGTTCCTTTCAGGCACACACTTCAGGCACCTCAAACAACCACATCTCACTCTATGGGGGTGGGGGGGGGTGTCACAGCAGCGTTCCTCCCGTATACTACCACCTAGAGAGTTTCTAAGATACACAGTCTTTGCTAGCTCCTGGTGGGCTCCCTCCACTTGTGACCAAATTGCGGAGCAGTTTGCGTCGACCAGCCTGGTAGTCCTCCTCGTCAACATTGACCAACAGTTTTATAGCTTCATGGCCCACCGCCTGCTTTAAGGAATCTGTGATAAAGACCCCTTTGAGGGCCTCTAGCAATGATCCATTGATGTAGTCCCTCCAGAAGGCATCCAAGTAGGTGAGCTCAGAGAACTTGATGTCACAGATGATGGAGCCCAAGTCTCGGGATTTGAGGATAGTGTTTGCCTGGTTGAAGCGCTCAAACTGTCGCTCCACTGCCTCTTGCTTGTTGGAGAAGACGTTGCCCTGAAGTGCAGACTCATGCTGGCAGTATTCAGCACGAACCCGGAGGCGGATATCTGAAGGAGGAGAGCACAAGGTAACAGTGATTACATTACAGTTAAGCAACGGCTGGCAGCCAGCATGGCATCAGACAACTGCCTAGCGTATGTATCCTGAAGGTTCAAGGCCGAGGGACGCTCGAAATGAAGGCAGGCCATCCTTGGCCATCCATGACCCTGTCTCCGGTTCTTTATTAGAGACAAAATTAATCACCAAATGCACTCGACAGGTGCGACTGTCTCTCCAAATACAGGAATTTTAACAAATGTAAAATCAGATATACTCTTGGACTGTTTTTCTGCTATCGAGCTGCATTAATTAACTTCAATAATTTCTGCATCGAAGCCATCAACCTGCTTAAAGATGTCTTACACTTAATTGGCACTTCTTTACTGGATATGATTAATCTTTCTTTATTATCAGGATATGTACCACAGTCCTTTAAAGTAGCTGTAATTAAACCCCTTCTTAAAAAGTCCACTCTTGACCCAGGGGTTTTAGCCAACTATAGACCGATTTCTAACCTCCCCTTCCTCTCTAAGATTCTGGAGAAAGTAGTCGCCAAGCAGTTGTGTGACTTTCTACATAGCAACAGCTTATTTGAGGATTTGCAATTCTTTATTATCAGGTTGCCCCAATAAGTCCATTAAAACGCTCCAATTAATTCAGAACGCTGCAGCACGAGTACTGACAGGAACTAGAAAAAGAGAATGGTCAGGCCCTTTCATACCTTAAAGAGCTCATAGTACCCTATTACCCCTCTAGAACACTACGTTCTCTGAATGCTGGGCTACTTGTGGTTCCTATAGTCTCTAAAAGTAGAACAGGAGCCAGAGCCTTCAGTTACCAAGCTCCTCTCCTATGGAACCAGCTTCCAGTTGTGGTTCGGGAGGCAGACACCCTCACCACATTCAAGAGTAGGCTTAAGACATTCCTCTTTGATAAAGCTTATAGTTAGGGCTGGATCAGGTGAGTCCTGAACCATCCCTTAGTTATGCTGCTATAGGCCTAGACTATCGGGGGATTTCCCATGGTGCACTGAGCTCCTCTCTTCCTCTCTCTTTCTGCACTCATTCATGTCCCATTAATGCATGTTACTAACTTCACTTCTTCCCCAGAGCCCTTTTGCTTTCTCGTTTCGCAGGTTCTCATGGATCCTGCTAGATTGCCATTGCCAATACTGTTGTTGCTGTGCATCTCTCTCTCTCTCTCTCTCTCTCTCTCTAACTGGTCGAGACAGACGACCACCCACCTAGAGCCGAAGGATCTGTCCTAGGTTTCTGCCTTTTAACAGGCAGTTTTTCCTTGCCCTTGTCGCCAAGTGCTTGCTCGTGGTGGTACTGTTGGGTCTCTGTAAATAATGTTTTAAGGAGTTCCTGAGATAACTTCTGTTATGAATTGGCGCTATACAAATAAAATTGAATTGAATTGAATTAATGAATAATGGATAGTGACAGCTGAAGAGTTAGAAAGGGGTGCCAGGGGATGACATGCAGACAAGGGCCACAGGTCGGAGTCAAACCCGTGGCCACTGCAGCCAGGACTGACCCTTGGTACATGGGGCACCAGCTCTTCAGGTCAGCTAGAAGGATGCCCCCGGACTCACTTGCTAACATTAGCTTTCCACAAACTGAGGCAGCACAGACGAAGAGAGCAATGTAAAAGTGTACAACCTTGTCTGACTACTACTATTCACAAACTCCGCTTCAGCAGGTCCCCTGCCAGAAGCTTGTAAAAACGCCATCACCAATAAGTGAGCAAGATTTATATGTAAGGATGAGCCCCATTGGTGTGGTAATGTCTTATCCTTTAGTATTGTCTTTCCGTTATGTTTTCCCGTGTCATACATTGTTATTTTCTGTTTTCAGATTATTTGTTTGAATTCGTTTGAACGAATTGCTTGTTAAACGTAGTTAAAATGACAGTTGGCAGAGTATAAATTACCTCCACAGTCTAACAATGGAATAGTCGTCAGTGTTGTTGAGATTATAAATCGAGTCGAAATACTGTATAATTCAGACTTGTAGAGTCTACTTTGTGTTACTTCCAGTTTAAGTCTGACTTTAGATGGATTTATTTAAACTATAAGGATGCATCGTTACGTTATGGTCTCTCTTTGCACCCGCCTGCTCGGCTGTTACTTTTCCTGTGTGAAGTCTGTGTTCTGCACGTGTACTTGTGAAAAGCCAGTTACCCACGTACATTGCAGAGTCTGCATTCTTCAGGATAGGTTTCTCTGAACCCTTACCACGATTACTAAAACCGGGTTACTCATCAAAATTACATTTTAAAAAGCCGACTGTTACTTAAGACATGTAAACATGAAATAAGAGTGTCTGGGTTACTTTAGTGCCTGTGACCGTGTTCCTATGTTGTTCTCGTCATCATACTCTTTGAGACAAAAAGGATGATCCTTCACTGTGTTGTGTTTCGTTTTACCACATGTTTGCTTCTCTCTGCAGTCAGCTGAGGAATGACTTCTCCTCCGTTTGCGGTTAGGTACAGGAGGAGCTGGCTTTGTTCGGGGGGGGCCCACGTGGGGTCCTGATGGGGAACAGCAAATGACTGGCTGAGGACCTAGAAAGTGACATCAGTTGTGACGTTAATCAAGCTTCTGAATCAGTGTGCAGTTACTCCTGAGGACTTTCCACAGACGACGCGCATAACTAATCTCATCCTTGTCTTGCTAATTGACCCTTCATTAGCCCCGCCCCTTCTTGCTCTATGCTCCAATAGCAGTTGAGCAAGCCTTGGTCAAAACCTCGGCCAAGATAGAAGCAACATATAAATAATCACATCTTAAGTTAGCTAATTTGAGCTATTTCTAGTTTTGCAATGAAATTGCGAGATAAAGTGAAAATTGCAAAAATACTTTGAATGAATTTGCGTGATTCGTTCGACCCACGGCTCCTCACACCGCATGTCGAAGTGCGGCAAGATACTGAAGCCTAAATTGCCCTCAATGCTGTCCCACTGGTGTATGAATGTGTGTGAATGGGATTCATTAGTGTCTGATGAGCAGTTAGCACCTTGCATGGCAGCCTCTGCAATCAGCGTATGAAAGGGTGAATGTGACATGTAGTGTAGAGCGCTGTGAATGGTCTGAAGACTAGAAAGGCGCTATATAAGATTAGTCCATTTAGATTATACCTTGTTACCCTGTGTTTTGCCAACATTAGCTAGCTAACTTAAGATGTGACTATATGATGCTTTTTGTTGCTTGCTCAACTGTTGTTAGAGCACAGAGTGAAAAGAGGTGGGATTTAGGAAAGATCAAAATTAAGAAATTAGTAGTGCAAAAAAAACTAACCTGAAGAGACATACGGTACAAACACCCACCTGTTCTTCTGTGAGGCGCAGTGTCCTTGCCCTGTAGTGCTCCTCTTGGAGAAATGTAGCGCACGGATGTCTCTTCCAGGTACTTGTCAACGGGGTCTGGGCACACTGAAAACAAAGTGGATTTCTGACATTACTTTCAGTTGCTTTCAGTTAAACATCACATCCGAACAAGTGAAATAAATCGACAATGCTTCAATAGTCAGTCAGTTTTTGTTGAGTGCCAGGGTCGATATGAGCCGCCACCTCAGTCAGATTATGGATAACCAGCATTCAAGTCTGCATTCATTCTTCTGCTTTGTCCTCTCTGCAATGCTGTCCACATACTCTGTGTGTGTGGAAGAGCCAAGCCCCACCCTCATGCAAACAAACAGGAAGACATTGAGCAAAGGAGAGAGCCAAATATCCTCAGCCAGAACTGTGCTTCTAATGTGTGCTTCACATTGTGATTATTTTGACAGGTACTGTGATTTTAATGTGATTTGTGAATGATCATTTCTTTCACTGAAAAACTGACTAATTTTGTCCTGCCACAGTTTCATAATGAACCACAAATAGTGTCCTGAGATAACTTTTGTTATGAATTGGCGCTATACAAGTAAAATTGAAGTGAATTGAAATATCTTTGCACTTTTCGGTAATTGTGTTTTGTGCCGTTGTTTCAGCAAAGCATCTCTCACTCCTAGTACAAGTATCCGCGATCGATTAACCTACCCTCTGTACTCTCACCCACTCTACCCTGCCTAGTATGGAAAGTGACAATCCCACATGCTCTGCGAGAGAGAGAGAGAGAGAGAGAGAGAGAGAGGATGCAATTCTTCCGAACCTGATGGCGCAGCATACAGGCTGGTCTGTCTGTGCTGGTGAGACGCAAGACAGAGAGACGCACACTCACAATGCCACTGCAAGTGCAACAAAAGTCCCACGAACATGGAAACAAACAATGGAAAAGAGTACTGAAGGGAAAAGCAAGGTGAGCAGATTAGAGTAGTCGTACCCCTGCTACAGGTAAACTGTCATCCTGTGGGAAACACTGCCAGGGCCTCTCTGTAGCACTACAGTGCTTCATCTCGATCAAAAAATTGCAATTCAAATTCTGCAATTTGGATGTTCTGAAAATGTCAACATTTTGATTAATTGTGCAGCCTAGTGTTTTGTCATTACATTCTGTTTACACCTCAGCAGCAATCAATAAATCCCATCCAACGTGCACTCTGCACTGAGGATTAAAATGTGTTCAGAGAGAGAGGCTTGGAGGGAAACCTTAAGGGAGGGGCAGGACTTTTTCAGTTAGATACCCTCAAAATCTATCTCTCTCATGCAAGTTTCTTTAACATTACCTACCATGGCTTTAATTATCTGTTGAAATTCCAAAATCGAAACCTTTGCAATTATTTCATTTACTAACTTACAATAATTGGGGAATATGTGGATTGGCTGCATTCTATGTAAATCCCAGCAGGTGGCAGCACCATTGGCTGCAATAAGACACTGATCCCATTTACTTGAACGGAGAATGAGTCGACTTGACACGTAAGTTTAAGTTTGATACATTGCTATCAAAAAATTATAACATTATTTTAATGTTATTAAATGTGCATATTAAGCCTGTGATGATATGCTATACTCACCAGCCTGTCGTTTCCTGAGTGTGACATAAGGCAGTAGGTCGTGACGGGTGATAATCCTTAGAAGCTGGAGAACGTGTCGGAAGTTGGTCTCATCACAGCGACCCTGGCGCTCTAGGGCAAGCAGGAAATCCCTTCCACTCCTGATGCCACCACGCTCGTACTCGTCAATCACGTCGACAAACAGGAATGACAGCACCCTGACATCCCGATGCGTCAGCTGGGCTCCGACTATGTCGAACATGCGGTGGAGTGAGTACAGCCCGTGTGAGTTATCTACTGCTTCCTCAGGCCACGGCTCAAAGCCCCGATCTCTTCTAGACGAGCTGGAGTTGGCGCAGGAGGCAGAAACGTTCCTGTTGGCCACCACCCCGCTGGTTGCTGCCACACCGGAGCAGCCCGGCCTGCCTGTTAGAGCTCTGTGGTCCAGAGGCCCGGCAGTTGCACCGCTCTGACTTGAGTCCAGTTGATTAGCCTGAATGTGGGGCCGTGCCTGCTGAGCAGAGGAGTTCTGGGCGAGGTGGGGAGGAATGACAGCATTGGGGAGCTGTGGCTGCTGTGATGTCATCTCAGGGCCCGATGGTGATGAGGGATGCTCAAATCCCTGCAACTCCTCCTGTCTTCGTCTGCTCCAACTGATGAGCTGTGTACAGAGAGTGGGGGATCACATATAATGGTTCAATCATTTAAGCGCAAGCTTCAGTGAACAACATTATTTTCCAATATTCAATTACATGATAGAACTCCAAAGACAGGCAGGGTTTCCCAAAGATTATTGATCTTGCATTGATTAATGATATGGTAGTATATAGTGATATGGTGGAGGCAGCCACACTGACAAGGCTGCCTGCAGATGTCTCTGAAGAAATTTTTTGTGTATCAGCCTTGTGAACACAGATATCGACCAATGCTGATTATCACAAAATGCTGATTAATCGGTCTATCACTACACACAAGCCTTTACTTTATAAAGAGTGGCCCTGTATGAGACCATACACTGTACATAGACTCCCTGTACGTGCATAGGACCAAGATGTCCTCATGCCATGACATTAATTAATCTTTGAGTTGAGCACTCCAAAGCGCAGCTAGATTTAGACTAAACCACTGGGGCAGCTTAAACTGCAGATTCTGAGGGCACAGCAAGCGACTCAAGACGCCACATGATTGTTGTTCCAGACAACAGCTGTGTAAACCCTTCCCAAACATAAACTACAGCTGAGCTAATGCCAGTGCAACAGCCCTGACGTAGCCTTGATGAAGCTGTCCAACATGTCACATATCAACAACACAGCTACACTGCCTTGTTCCTGCATGTTCTATTCACATGTTAAACCTAGCCTAAACATATTGCTGATATCTGTCTAATAATGATAATAGGCCTTTTCACAGTAAACATTTTAATCTCCAGAGTGCACAGCTGTTAATAATAAAATGAATGCTTTAGTATCAGGGCCCCAGTACTGTGCATGCTGGCACACAGTCACAATATCATGGCTCACAGGGACAACTGGGCTGAAGGGAGCCTCATCATTGTAATTTTAAATGTGTGAGGTCAGAATAGGGATGGGAATTGATAAGATTTTATTGATACAAATACCAGTACTGATTCTCTTTATCGGTCTGATTCTACTTCTTAATCACATGTTATTGTGTGGGAAACGGCCTACATTAGGTCTTCAGCATCAACGCAACTGTTTTATGTCTGAATGTGAACACAGTGAGGAAACAGAGCATGGCTGCTTCGGCTGTTCAATACAAAGGTTTGACTAATTGTTCTTCTTTTTTCAGTTCAGCTGCAACCCTTCCAAACGGATCTCCATGAGTCTCACTCTTTAACGTTCTTTATTGTCATCTGTGTAAAAATGTGCGTCCTGTTCACAGTTCAATGGTGACATCCCATAACCACCGAGGTGCGTCTGCAGCCAGCCTGCTTCAGCTCCGTCAGACAAAGAGTCCTTCCATGGACAGCCTTAGAGGAGGCTGAACCACCGTCTGCAGCCGCCGTTTATGTAACGTTAAAAACAAGAGCAACGGAACAACACGGCAGCTGAAATGACTTAACAGTAGACTATCGGTAGTAAGCTAGTAAGCTAACGGTAGTTATCTGAGATTATAAACAGATGCAGGATGTTGACGTGGGGCCGCTAAACAACCAGACGGGGAACCGGCACAGTATTCCCGTTACACGGTTAGCGACTGAATAGCCAGTCCGGAGTTTGCTCCGGTACCGTAAACGTGCGCATAATAAAACCGCTATCCGCTTCATTTGCGTCTGGGTTTGTTGTGACTCCTGATCGCTAGCCTTAAGTTAGTCCAGGGTTTCTGTCTACGTAAACTAACGCACGTCGAACACAGTGAGACTGCCGGTGAAAACAACGAACTGCATTATGGAACCAGAACTCTACATTACCTCCCGTCTCGTTGGATATTCGTGACGAGTGCGACACTATCACAGTTCGGTAGACAGCTAACGCGAAGTTAGCTTCCAGTGTGTGATGGCACAGCAAAGCTTCTTCCAGGACGGAAAACACGGCTCCGTTTAACGGCTCCGTTTAACGGCGCTGTTCACGGTCAGTCTTTAACAGATATGTTCCCGGTCTCTCGCTGGGCAGCACGGATTCTTTCATTCCACACATACAAGTTGGTTTAATGCTTTTGGTCCTCAAACAGACATCATGGAGAAAATAAGCAGACAATTTTCGTTCTTCAGCTAAAATGAAAGAACTTCCAGTTCACGGTACCGTTCAGTTCCGGTGTTGTTGCGAGTTGTGCCGTCTTTTTCTTCTGTCGATGCTCGCGGCAGGCAGGACGCAGCAAAGGCGTATTGCTGCCCCCTACAGCTCACTCCATTGAATTACTAAAATTCTTGCATAGTGTGTGAATCCTTGCATGGATAATATTTATTACAGTTTATGTTATACCACCACGAGCCGCGATGAGTATTGACTTAAAATAATGATCTGTGACTCCACTTTCTGCCAGTTCAGCTTGCATGAAGCTTCTCTCTGTTTGATAATTGGTGCATTCCATTAAAACATGACTGCTAGTTTCTGCCTGCCTACAGATACATTTTCCATCCAGGGGCTTACCAACCAGTGCCAGCCCATTCTTATACATATATATGTTTGGGGGTGTGGGGTTGCAGCTTTTTGCCTTTATCGGATGGGACAGCTGAGAGTAGACAGGAAAGGGGGAGAAAGAGAGGATGACATGCAGCAAGGACTCAGCCTTGAGTACATTGGGTGTCAGCTCTACCAGGTGAGCCATCAGGGGCAGGGCACACCACAATGACCTAGTCTCAGCCTGGTCACTACCACACTGTCCCTCCTGACAAATTTCCTGTAAATGATGGGTGTTTTAGTGACGGATGTATTGAAGAATAAAACCTGCCCTTGTTTACTACTTCCCATTATTTTTGCCATAACTGTGCTGTTCCTTATTGTATTACACTCAACTAAACAAAAACAACCAATCAGAGCAGAGAAAGATAATTGATTTTTGAGTCTCTTTTCTTTCTCATGAATGAAACTATCTTCAAGCCACCAGCCAAAAGCTCTGATTGGTTGTTTTCATTCAGGCCTGGTGGAGTCTTGTAAATGCCATTAGGAGAACTAGGAGGAGCCAGAGGAACCTGATTTGTTCACGGATTATCTATCTCATGTACGTCAGGATATAGTGAAAGTTTCAGCAAATAAGACAAAAAGTTATTTTTAGAAAAGTTACCTACAGCAGCTTGAAATCTAAATGCAGCCAATCTCAAGTACATTTTGTGTCTGTCTAGTTCCGTTATCTGACAGTAACAGAAAAATATAAATGACAAGTTTATTCATTCTTTCGCACAGATTTCCACATCAAGTTTTTTTCTTTTTTTCTACCACTTAATCCTGGGGTATCTTCACAATTAGTATCTGGTTTCGTCTTCTTAGAGTTACTATTTTCTGCTTTTCTTTGTCTTACATAGTATTTACCTCAATATCTTTGAGATTTGATGGGTTGGATAAAATATGAATACCTCATATTTGGCTCTGGGAATGTAAATAATGGGCATTTTACAGACAAAATAAAAAAAAATGTTTGCCAGATAATCAATAATGAAAAAAAAACATGTTAGTTGCATACTGTATATATTTATCACTGACAAAAGAAACCCATCCCAGCTATACAAAATAAAATCCTGAAATTGGCATGATTCACAAATATAACTTGCTCTGAGTTTTTCATGTCTCTAATAGCACAAAAAATATTGCCCAGGCATGAGTTCAGTTAATGATTCAAATGGGAAATATAAGAGTCATTCAAGCCATTCCAAAAGATCATCTTTTGGAGTTTCCTTGGAGCAGATGGCGTCGTTGAAGGTAGAAGTTGCCTTCACACACTCTACATTCTTAGGTCTTGTAGGAATCTATGTGAGGAAAAGCAGGACAAAATTCTCTTAGTGCTCATTCATTGTCAGAAAGGTCCTAAAATGTATTTTATGCCACTTAAAGCACACTGTAAAACCTGACAGCATATCTTTATAAAACAATTTCACTCAATCTCATGAATTAAACCTAACTCAAAAATGTACTATTGATGTAATAACTTTTTGTGAACTTCAATTTGTGCAGTATTTTAAGAATTGGTCATATAATTCCAGTTTGTTCCACTGACTTATTTTCTTTAAGTTGACTTCATAGGACCGCTATGATGCTTAAGATTTTATTTTATTTTTTTAAAATTACAGTTTATAAGTCATCATATTTCCAAGTATGCATCCAAATGATTCTTAAAGATCTGCTAATATGTGAAGTCACATAAAAAAACAACTAAATTACAGCAGTAATTAGATTAGTTGATCCAAAGAAAATTAATTGGCTTCTCCCTAAAAAATATTTTAAAAATTAATTTGCTACCATTTAATAATAATATATACAACATTTGAATGTAAAAAAATATTAATAATCCATTCATCATAAATTGTTGTCCTATGTCAGCTGTTTTGACAGGTAATGTAATGATTTGCTTTGGAGGAAGAAAACTGAGTTAGTTAAACTTTCTTTAAGTTAGTCTTTATTCCAATATTTTTTGCATATGAGTGTTATATACTCACTAATTAACTGAATGGAATTAGTACAATTAACTTAATTTACCCAAGTTACCTTAACAACAAATACTTGAGCTACTTAAGTGTTTGAGTTAATAAACTTAAACAGTTTAAGGTTTCCTCAAGCAGTTTGAGCTGAACTAACTCATCCAGTTATACAATGCAGCACACAACAAACATTATGTATTGGGAACAGGAAATTACTGTTAAAATAATAAAAAGTCAATAGAAACACTGCAAGATGTTCATTTTTGAAGTACCAAATTTATACCTGGTTGCACACAGCTTTTCCATAGCGTACAAACGTGGCAAAATGCTCACAGTTGAGACCGAAAAGATCATACGGGAAGTCCTGATTAAGAAGGGTGTTACTCCGTAACTTCATGTCCTCAGGTGCAGATGGCGCGAAGGCATGGCGGTTGTTACTGATCAAGACGTGGGCTCCTTTTGGGACGTTCACCTCACCGAGAGGCACTCTGCGGATCCTGGTCTCCCCAAGCAGAAGGTCCCCACATATAGGCAAGATTGATTGCAGGTAAGTACGTACACTTTTCATCAGTTGCCCCTCATCTAAAGATAAACAGGGACAGTTCAGGATGTGCAACAATTTGACAAACAATCAGATGTATCTTTTTAGACCACTGTCCAATAGCACCATAATACATCAAATACACCAAATTCACCAAACCAGCCTTGCTCTCACAACCATGTTCTTGAGTTGCTGCAACTAAATAAATTTATAAGTTGTCACTTCTATTATCTCCAGTGGAAGCAGTATAACATTTAGTTTTTCAGTGAACAAGGACAATAATCAAGGAAAAATATAAATCAGTGTATTAACACTGTGTGTAAACGATTAGAGTTACAGGTTTGTGAAGGTGATGGTGTTACCTCCTTGACATATAAAAGATGGACGACTGCATTATGGGTAATAAAACTCGCTGCCTCAATGTTAACGGATTTGACATGGGCCAAACTAAAAAATCTAAGTACAGGTCAAATATACATTTTTCCCAAAGATGGTTTCTGTCCTATCAGGAATTTCTTATCACATTGATGTATGTCAAAGTGTTCATTTTTCTGATCAGTTTGGTTTAAATTAGTTATTTGAAGCTATAAAAGAGTTTTCACATCATGACTGACAGCTAAGGCCCTACTTGAGATTGAGTCGGCTGGGCGTATCGGTGGGATTTCTATACTGTATTTTATGTGGTGACTTTCTTTCATACACATACCGATGCAATTTGGGGTTCAGTATCTTGCTCTAATTCAACACATTGCAAGAGCCGGGGATTGAACCAACAACCGTCCGATTAGTGGACGACCCACTCTGCTTCTGAGCTACAGCTGCCCTGGCTCTTACTCCTGCCAACATGATTAAATAAACCATAGCCTCTATGATTTACATTATATTATATTGGTTGGCATTTAATAAGATGAAATAAAATGTTTATCTGTTGTGTAGGATCACTTTTGCACAGGTTAAATGTTGTGTTGGTTATTTCCAACCTGAATATTGGAGGAAAAAGGGCGGATACACATTGGCATCGACCAAATTGTAATTCTAAATATTGGTATTGGACCAAAATTTCATATTCCCTATCTGCAGGACAATTCATACAAAATCTAGTTCTGAAAAGGTGATGTTGTACTTATATATTCTTCTTTTTCTACTGCTTACGTCTTCTGCTTCTACTTGTATGTTATACAGTAGTTTTGTGGTCCAGAACCCCCAGGGGTTCTTGAGAGGGTTCCAGGGGGTCCCCAGCAAAAAGGGGAATTAATCATTTTCACTATAATTCCATTCATAAGTTTAATAATTACAGAATGTATGACTATTTTCATACACCTTCTGAAATAAAACATCTAAAAGCAAAAATCTTGGCCATTGTTCTAATACAGCGTGTGTTCAAGTCATCAAAGTTTAGATGTTAAATAATACACTGTAATGCGTCATGTTATTTTAACTTAATTAACTTAATTGTTGAAACAGTTTACATCTAAGATTTTGAGTTAAACAAACCTTAATTTGGTTAAGTTAAAAAACATTCTCAATAAAGTAATTTTTTTCACAACATTTTTTTTTTAATTACTAAAGCTATTTGATTAAGAATGTTTTTTAACAAACAAAATTGCATTAGTTTTATTTAAAATGTTAATCCGTTTCAACAATTTTTTGAATTAAATAAACTTATCTGGTTTTACAGTGTAACCTAAACTTTTTTCTTCGCAGAAATTAAGGAAATGTTGAGATAGTAGAGGCTTACTGTGTATATATTTTAAGTTTTCTTACACCCCTTAAAATAAAGGTGGCCTCCAACACCCCGTGAAGCTGTAGTGAACCCTAATGGGGGCCTCGACCCCCAGGTTGCGAACCATCGTTTTAGTTTGTGTCAGTGTCAGGGTCCTTAACCACTGATGTAATGTACTGGATGCTGTACTCACCTGCAACAGCAAAATGGATTACATGTCCATCTCCATCATACACCCCCCAGTGTGAATATCCCATGGGGTAGGAAAATTCAATCAAGTCCCCGATTTTGGCAGTGGACACAATTTCTTCAACCTGCATTAATTACAAAGCACAAGACAGAAAATAATAATAAAAGACTTGCCTTCACCCTGCTCCACTCCCTATCCAGTCTGAAAGCAGGTTTAGCTACATTTCATTCAGGACAAGGCAGAGCTGCTGTAAAATGTTCTTCAGTAATGGTAAATACTGCAGCCCATAACTAATACAATAATGTGTAATATATAATGTAATAATGCATGATGTGTTTTATATTTTCCTCACAGTTCCATTGGATGAAGTCACATTTGTATATGAGCACATTCTACATTACACTGATAATTTCACATGACGTTACCTACAGAATAACAAACTCTGACTCATCAGGAATACAGGTGCAACAGCAGCTATCATAAGTTGGCTGATCATACTCAAAATATGTATCTATATTAGTTATTAATTCTGTGCCACTGAGAGATAATTCAGGTCATTGTGTTGTTGGTTCTTACCTGCTGATGATAATCCATAGCTGACTCCTGGTGAGTTAGTGTGAGGACTGTGGTAGCTGTTGTAAGACAGTGTGCACCTTGTAGGGTGTGTTGTGTGAGAATCTGGCTTGGGCTGTTTGTTGCTTAGTAGTTTGAAGGAAAGAAAGACAGCTGATTGGCTAATACTTCAACGTAATATAAAAATGCTGCTTCAAACAAGAGTAATCAACAAAGCTACAAAAAAAAAATTTAAGAAGAACTGTCAATGTATCTAGTTTTTTTTTTGCACTTAAAGGACCGGTGTGTAGGTTTTAGTGACTTCCAGCAGTGTAGTTGCTAAATGCAAACCCCTCGCCTCACCCTTCCATTCCAAGTGTGTGGATGAAACAATGGTGGCCCCAAAACTTGGGAAAAACAGGAAAGGCCCTATCTAGATCCAGCATTTGGTTTGTCCATTCTGGGCTACTGAAGAAACATGGCAGACTCCGCCAGAACAGGGCTCTGTAGATAAAAACATCTCATTCTAAGGTAATGAAAACACAACGATTTTTTATTTTCAAGTGATAAAACACTAATGAAAACATATATATAAAGAGATATAAACCCTTTGTTCTTGTAGTGCCAGTGGCAGAATATCCCTAGACTGTGCAAACAAGTTTCAGACAGAAATGTAAATTGTATTTTATGTTAAAAATATCCAGTATAGAGGCACATGGTGCAGCAAGATATGGTATCAGAAAATCTCCAAAACATCTTGACTCAGGCCATTTATTAAAAATGATATTACAGAATGCCTGGTTATCTTTTTTCAAGATTTCCCACCATGCAATGGTAAGAACAATCCAATCAGTTTTTTCTTTCTTTCTTTTCTTCTACATACACTAGGTGGCAGTGTGTGCATGCTGTACTGGTGATGGTGTGTCCATCCCCAGTGCAACGAGTGTTACAATTACACTTGGTTATGCTGTTGTCATGTGGAAAGCAGTACACCAAATGATCCTAGTCTCCAACTAAAAGCCTAAACCCAAGTGTGAGAGGCTGCAATGGCCCAAAATTGTATACATAGTAATGTGACAGCACTCTACCCATCAGTGACATTAAAAAGTCACGCTAAAAAGAATTGTATAATCATAAAGACTAATCTTACCTGTTTTGGATACTACTTCCTGCTGTGACCTGTGCAATGTACCATATCAACCACATCTATATATAAAAAAGCTGTATATAGTGTACATTGTACAATACTGCACTTTTTATTTTTGTATCTTGTATTTCTCAATTCAGTTTTTCATTTGAATTTTTTATGTGTATTTTCTTATCTGCTGTGTTGGAGCTGCTATAGCGAATTAATTTCCCCAGTTTGGGATCAATAAAGTCTATCTTATCTCATCTTTTAAGATGATACGAAAACATTTCACACCTGATTGTGCCTTTGTGTTTGAGAATTCTATGGTTTTCTCAGATATGTCCTGGAGTTTAACTACCTGGTCCCAGACAACTGATCTGTAAATCCATAGAGTGTGTTTACAATCAGGCCTTGGAAATCTTGGACAAAAAGCAAATAAGGTACCAGCATCACTGCATTTTAGGTAAATACAGATCTTAAGCTTTGCAACTTAGACTGATTTTCACTATGTAAGGCTTGTCTTGAATGTTTAAATGGACTTGCCCCTCAGCCTGTCGGAAAATATATTAAGAGAGCTGCAGCAGATCAAGTGGAAAAGTTTTGGTCTACAACACATCTTTTGTTCAGACAGCTTTTACTGTCAGAGGAGTAAAGTCCTGGAACTCTCTAACTCGCTCAAAATGTCTGCCAAGGAGCATTTTTTTTGGCAGATAATCAATAATGAAAAAAACATTGTTAGTTGCATAGTGTATATATTTATCACTGACAAAAGAAACCCATCCCAGCTATACAGGGGGTCCAAAATAAAATCCTGAAATTGGCATGATTCACAAATATAACTTGCTCTGAGTTTTTCATGTCTCTAATAGCACAAAAAATATTGCCCAGGCTTGAGTTCAGTTAATGATTCAAATGGGAAATATAAGAGTCATTCAAGCCATTCCAAAAGATCATCTTTTGGAGTTTCCTTGGAGCAGATGGCGTCGTTGAAGGTAGAAGTTGCCTTCACACACTCTACATTCTTAGGTCTTGTAGGAATCTATGTGAGGAAAAGCAGGACAAAATTCTCTTAGTGCTCATTCATTGTCAGAAAGGTCCTAAAATGTATTTTATGCCACTTAAAGCACACTGTAAAACCTGACAGCATATCTTTATAAAACAATTTCACTCAATCTCATGAATTAAACCTAACTCAAAAATGTACTATTGATGTAATAACTTTTTGTGAACTTCAATTTGTGCAGTATTTTAAGAATTGGTCATATAATTCCAGTTTGTTCCACTGACTTATTTTCTTTAAGTTGACTTCATAGGACCGCTATGATGCTTAAGATTTTATTAATTTTTTTTAAAATTACAGTTTATAAGTCATCATATTTCCAAGTATGCATCCAAATGATTCTTAAAGATCTGCTAATATGTGAAGTCACATAAAAAAACAACTAAATTACAGCAGTAATTAGATTAGTTGATCCAAAGAAAATTAATTGGCTTCTCCCTAAAAAATATTTAAAAAATTAATTTGCTACCATTTAATAATAATATATACAACATTTGAATGTAAAAAAATATTAATAATCCATTCATCATAAATTGTTGTCCTATGTCAGCTGTTTTGACAGGTAATGTAATGATTTGCTTTGGAGGAAGAAAACTGAGTTAGTTAAACTTTCTTTAAGTTAGTCTTTATTCCAATATTTTTTGCATATGAGTGTTATATACTCACTAATTAACTGAATGGAATTAGTACAATTAACTTAATTTACCCAAGTTACCTTAACAACAAATACTTGAGCTACTTAAGTTGTTTGAGTTAATAAACTTAAACAGTTTAAGGTTTCCTCAAGCAGTTTGAGCTGAACTAACTCATCCAGTTATACAATGCAGCACACAACAAACATTATGTATTGGGAACAGGAAATTACTGTTAAAATAATAAAAAGTCAATAGAAACACTGCAAGATGTTCATTTTTGAAGTACCAAATTTATACCTGGTTGCACACAGCTTTTCCATAGCGTACAAACGTGGCAAAATGCTCACAGTTGAGACCGAAAAGATCATACGGGAAGTCCTGATTAAGAAGGGTGTTACTCCGTAACTTCATGTCCTCAGGTGCAGATGGCGCGAAGGCATGGCGGTTGTTACTGATCAAGACGTGGGCTCCTTTTGGGACGTTCACCTCACCGAGAGGCACTCTGCGGATCCTGGTCTCCCCAAGCAGAAGGTCCCCACATATAGGCAAGATTGATTGCAGGTAAGTACGTACACTTTTCATCAGTTGCCCCTCATCTAAAGATAAACAGGGACAGTTCAGGATGTGCAACAATTTGACAAACAATCAGATGTATCTTTTTAGACCACTGTCCAATAGCACCATAATACATCAAATACACCAAATTCACCAAACCAGCCTTGCTCTCACAACCATGTTCTTGAGTTGCTGCAACTAAATAAATTTACAAGTTGTCACTTCTATTATCTCCAGTGGAAGCAGTATAACATTTAGTTTTTCAGTGAACAAGGACAATAATCAAGGAAAAATATAAATCAGTGTATTAACACTGTGTGTAAACGATTAGAGTTACAGGTTTGTGAAGGTGATGGTGTTACCTCCTTGACATATAAAAGATGGACGACTGCATTATGGGTAATAAAACTCGCTGCCTCAATGTTAACGGATTTGACATGGGCCAAACTAAAAAATCTAAGTACAGGTCAAATATACATTTTTCCCAAAGATGGTTTCTGTCCTATCAGGAATTTCTTATCACATTGATGTATGTCAAAGTGTTCATTTTTCTGATCAGTTTGGTTTAAATTAGTTATTTGAAGCTATAAAAGAGTTTTCACATCATGACTGACAGCTAAGGCCCTACTTGAGATTGAGTCGGCTGGGCGTATCGGTGGGATTTCTATACTGTATTTTAGGTGGTGACTTTCTTTCATACACATACCAATGCAATTTTGGGTTCAGTATCTTGCTCTAATTCAACACATTGCAAGAGCCGGGGAGATGTTAAACAATACACTGTAATGCGTCATGTTATTTTAACTTAATTAACTTAATTGTTGAAACGGTTTACATCTAAGATTTTGAGTTAAACAAACCTTAATTTGGTTAAGTTAAAAAACATTCTCAATAAAGTAATTTTTTTCACAACATTTTTTTTTTAATTACTAAAGCTATTTGATTAAGAATGTTTTTTAACAAACAAAATTGCATTAGTTTTATTTAAAATTTTAATCCGTTTCAACAATTTTTTGAATTAAATAAACTTATCTGGTTTTACAGTGTAACCTAAACTTTTTTCTTCACAGAAATTAAGGAAATGTTGAGATAGTAGAGGCTTACTGTGTATATATTTTAAGTTTTCTTACACCCCTTAAAATAAAGGAGGCCTCCAACACCCCGTGAAGCTGTAGTGAACCCTAATGGGGGCCTCGACCCCCAGGTTGCGAACCATCGTTTTAGTTTGTGTCAGTGTCAGGGTCCTTAACCACTGATGTAATGTACTGGATGCTGTACTCACCTGCAACAGCAAAATGGATTACATGTCCATCTCCATCATACACCCCCCAGTGTGAATATCCCATGGGGTAGGAAAATTCAATCAAGTCCCCGATTTTGGCAGTGGACACAATTTCTTCAACCTGCATTAATTACAAAGCACAAGACAGAAAAAAAAATAAAAGACTTGCCTTCACCCTGCTCCACTCCCTATCCAGTCTGAAAGCAGGTTTAGCTACATTTCATTCAGGACAAGGCAGAGCTGCTGTAAAATGTTCTTCAGTAATGGTAAATACTGCAGCCCATAACTAATACAATAATGTGTAATATATAATGTAATAATGCATGATGTGTTTTATATTTTCCTCACAGTTCCATTGGATGAAGTCACATTTGTATATGAGCACATTCTACATTACACTGATAATTTCACATGACGTTACCTACAGAATAACAAACTCTGATTCATCAGGAATACAGGTGCAACAGCAGCTATCATAAGTTGGCTGATCATACTCAAAATATGTATCTATATTAGTTATTAATTCTGTGCCACTGAGAGATAATTCAGGTCATTGTGTTGTTGGTTCTTACCTGCTGATGATAATCCATAGCTGACTCCTGGTGAGTTAGTGTGAGGACTGTGGTAGCTGTTGTAAGACAGTGTGCACCTTGTAGGGTGTGTTGTGTGAGAATCTGGCTTGGGCTGTTTGTTGCTTAGTAGTTTGAAGGAAAGAAAGACAGCTGATTGGCTAATACTTCAACGTAATATAAAAATGCTGCTTCAAACAAGAGTAATCAACAAAGCTACAAAAAAAAAATGTAAGAAGAACTGTCAATGTATCTAGTTTTTTTTTTTTTGCACTTAAAGGACCGGTGTGTAGGTTTTAGTGACTTCCAGCAGTGTAGTTGCTAAATGCAAACCCCTCGCCTCACCCTTCCATTCCAAGTGTGTGGATGAAACAATGGTGGCCCCAAAACTTGGGAAAAACAGGAAAGGCCCTATCTAGATCCAGCATTTGGTTTGTCCGTTCTGGGCTACTGAAGAAACATGGCAGACTCCGCCAGAACAGGGCTCTGTAGATAAAAACATCTCATTCTAAGGTAATGAAAACACAACGATTTTTTATTTTCAAGTGATAAAACACTAATGAAAACATATATATAAAGAGATATAAACCCTTTGTTCTTGTAGTGCCAGTGGCAGAATATCCCTAGACTGTGCAAACAAGTTTCAGACAGAAATGTAAATTGTATTTTATGTTAAAAATATCCAGTATAGAGGCACATGGTGCAGCAAGATATGGTATCAGAAAATCTCCAAAACATCTTGACTCAGGCCATTTATTAAAAATGATATTACAGAATGCCTGGTTATCTTTTTTCAAGATTTCAGAACAATCCAATCAGTTTTTTCTTTCTTTCTTTTCTTCTACATACACTAGGTGGCAGTGTGTGCATGCTGTACTGGTGATGGTGTGTCCATCCCCAGTGCAACGAGTGTTACAATTACACTTGGTTATGCTGTTGTCATGTGGAAAGCAGTACACCAAATGATCCTAGTCTCCAACTAAAAGCCTAAACCCAAGTGTGAGAGGCTGCAATGGCCCAAAATTGTATACATAGTAATGTGACAGCACTCTACCCATCAGTGACATTAAAAAGTCACGCTAAAAAGAATTGTATAATCATTAAGACTAATCTTACCTGTTTTGGATACTACTTCCTGCTGTGACCTGTGCAATGTACCATATCAACCACATCTATATATAAAACAGCTGTATATAGTGTACATTGTACAATACTGCACTTTTTTATTTTTGTATCTTGTATTTCTCAATTCAGTTTTTCATTTGAATTTTTTATGTGTATTTTCTTATCTGCTGTGTTGGAGCTGCTATAGCGAATTAATTTCCCCAGTTTGGGATCAATAAAGTCTATCTTATCTCATCTTTTAAGATGATACGAAAACATTTCACACCTGATTGTGCCTTTGTGTTTGAGAATTCTATGGTTTTCTCAGATATGTCCTGGAGTTTAACTACCTGGTCCCAGACAACTGATCTGTAAATCCATAGAGTGTGTTTACAATCAGGCCTTGGAAATCTTGGACAAAAAGCAAATAAGGTACCAGCATCACTGCATTTTAGGTAAATACAGATCTTAAGCTTTGCAACTTAGACTGATTTTCACTATGTAAGGCTTGTCTTGAATGTTTAAATGGACTTGCCCCTCAGCCTGTCGGAAAATATATTAAGAGAGCTGCAGCAGATCAAGTGTTGTTCAGACAGCTTTTACTGTCAGAGGAGTAAAGTCCTGGAACTCTCTAACTCGCTCAAAATGTCTGCCAAGGAGCCCACATACACTTAATGATTTGAAGTCCATGAGTGTGGAGATTGGGATTGGACCAGTTAACAAGTTAATTCTTCCCTTCATCTGGAGATCAAAGTTTATGTGAGATCAGGATTAGGTAGTACTTTCATCTCTTTCCTTACATGCTGATGGGTGCATTGAACTACATGCACAGTACCACCAAAAGACCAAGACCCCACTCAGACTCTACAACCACACCTGTGACTGAGCATTAGGCAGAAGCTGCATCACAAAACAGGGTCAGGATCCTTTACTACAGCCAGAAAAGCAGTGGATCCTGAACCTTCATCCACCGGTTCTCAACTGCTGGGTGGTCCCAAAATAGACCATCTTAGCAAGTGAACGACCAAAACAATCATGTTAAAAAAGGTATAATGGCTGATAGAATTATCATCAAATATTCATAAAAATAATTTTAACTTTTAATTTTAAAAAATCTAAATGGTTATATTAACTTATTAAGTTATATTTACTAACATCTAGTTAACATCTGTATCACAACACCCACTGGAATGAACATGACTACACATTCAGAACCACCTCCCCTGTGTTGGCTGTTAAAGTTTTTGTGTTATTTTGTGTAAAATATGGTTTAATGGACACATCACATATTACGACAGACAAAAGATGCAATTATAAAATCTTTTTAATGAAAATAGTCTTTAAATATGACACTTTTATTTATCATCACTATCTGAAATGAAGATATTTGCAGTCAATGAGCTCACTGCAAACCTTTCAGGGCCTCAGCAAATAACTGACAGGACAGGTGTCGGCTAAGAAACCGCTGTGTTGTTTGTGTTGTTGAAAGCAGAAGAAAGGTGGAGGCATGTCTTCAGGAATGGCCTTAGATGATGATGCAGTCAGAGGAAAGCAGTGTGAGGCCTCTAGCCGAATCCTTTACTCAACACCTTTCATGAACTCCAGGAACTCTGTCAGAGTGAATGCACATAGACAATTAGTACCATATAACATAGTCAAATTATTTGTTACAGCCCTAGTGTAGTGTGTGTGTGTGTGTGTATATATATCCTGCAAGATGCTTCTCCAAATTCTCCAAGATGCTTAGAACAACCTTCTGCGAAGTACCTTAAGAAGCTGTGTACCTAGGAGATGTATGTATACCATATATGGGATATAAAATGTGTTATAAATTTATATTTCTGTTTAAATTTGCTTCTGTATTAATTTACCTTTGTATCAATTCTACTATTTATTTACTTTCACATTTAATTTTTCATTTTATTGTGTTTTATGTCCATTAACATGAAACTCACTAAATAACAGAGTTGAGGCAGAGCAGCTGAAGGGAAAAAAGTAACTATTTTTTCCTTAAAAATTATTATTTTAGTAGACTCCTAGTTGGAGCTGCTGTAACACTAAATCCCCCTGGCAATGAAGGCAAAAAGTTGCCCTAATGATACAGCTTGATAATAATAATAATAATAATAATAATAATAATAATAATAATCTGCATAATAAAGCAAAAATGCATACAGAAAGGTAAAAGCAGAAATAAATAAGTTTGATAAAATAAATGGTGGGGGGAGGCGGTGCAATGGGAAAATAATACAGAAAGAAATACATAAATATATTTAAAATGTAATTAATTAATAAATATGATTTAAAATTAAATGGGAAAGCAAAATAATAGGGGAATTAGTTCAAAGGTAAATAAATACAGACTGAGATTAAAACAGATGTATACGTAATATATTTTATTAAAATAATTATTATTAATATAATAAACATTTATTTTAACATTATTTTCTGTGCATTTAATGGCATTTTAATTTGTTGAGTAATTTTTATATTTATTTTATATTTTGCCAGTTGCAGTCTCTCACATATATATATACCATCTCTGTAAAAAAAAAAAAATCTGCTACTTAGGATAAAGCCATTCCTGAGCTTAGGTCCCTTGAAGGAACCCAGAACTACACATGATGCATATTTCCTTCGTATGGGAAGTGGAATACCATCTATCTGTCATTTATATATGATGATAAAATTAAAACTTTTATACGTCATATATGGTATAAATGCAACTGTTAGCCATGTAAGGCTCCCAAAATGTCAAACGTGTAATTTTTTACTTGTATTGGAGCTGCAGTAGGTAACTTTTATAACTTTTATTAACTCACTATATCCTGACAGTAATAACTTACTTACAAATAACAATAATTAGTTGTTATTTAACATTTTACTGTATTATTACTGCAACTCAGTAGCCAGGAAATTCCTGTAAATTTACATAACGTGTACTACTTACGTACCGTCATAATCAATTTTCCCATCATTGTTTTTGTCTCCATCCTTCATCAGCTCCTCGATATCGTCTTCCGTGATGGCCTCTCCAGTGGACTCCAGCATGGCCTTCAGCTCCTCTAAGTCTATGTAGCCATCGCCATTCCTTAACACAAGATAAAGAAATCAGTCTTCTCATCTGGCATGACTGCTGAGTTGAAGCCCAACACTATCAATGGTTGAAACCTTTAACACCAAACTGTTCTGAGTGAGTTAACCCATTTAATATTTACAACAATAATTAATTAATTAATTCATATTATAATAATAATTTACACAAAGTTTGTAACCTTTTAACAGTTAAGCTAAAGGTAAGGTAAAACCACTTTTATTTCCTAAACACCAGTATGTACATGTAAATCACCACAACAATGTGTGAAAGAGAAACCTACTTGTCGAACATGCGGAACAGCTCAGCCAACTCCTCCTCTGATTTTCCTTTGCTCTCCTCCTTCATGCAGCGGACCATCATAACCAAGAACTCATCAAAATCTACTGTGCCACTGCCTGTGAACACACAACATGATTTTAAGACTCCATAATACAGCAGTTATCCTGTCCACAGTACAGTCATGTGAAAGGTTTAATGGCACTGACATACCATCCTCATCCACCTCATCAATCATCTCCTGTAGCTCTTCAGGGGTGGGATTCTGTCCCAGCATCCTCATCACCTTCCCCAACTCTTTGGTGCTGATGCAGCCGTCCTCTGCATCCTGGATGAAGATGTCAAATGCAGCCTTGAACTCTACAAAACGAATCAGCAGCTGTTACTGTCTGACATGGAGGACTACAGACAGTGTGTCACACAGAGTGCTGAAATTTTATATAACATAACAACCATCTTATCATCATGTTTCTTGTTTATTTTACAGATTTTTCTGTATTTTTTAAATACATGGAAATATTAATAAAATTACAAAAACAGCCTGTGAATTTACATGTCTAATGTAAAATAACGGGAACAATCTGGAACTGTAAATTATAAAATTATTGCTTTTGTTTAAATCTTTTTCACATAAAAAGATACATTTGCTAATCGATAATCTTTATTTACTGTTTATATAATACATTCAACTGGTAAATTCAAGTTTAATTAGATTTAAAAAATTTGTGACAATAAACAGTAAAAATAGTACCGTAATTTTACATGGATTTGTTTGTTAATTGACATATTGATATATTGTATAATTATGGACATTTCCACAAGAAAAAACTTTATATAAATGGTTTCCTTATCAGTGTTTAAGCATGGTATACTGTTAAAATACAGTTTTTATCAAAAAAAATTTAAAAGAGCAATAACTATTACTGTAATTCTACTGATGGTGACTTTTATTAGTTTAAATTCAGAATAAAATAAGAAAAAATTAAATAAAATTAAATAATAACAGCACTTTTCTTTAAATTTAAGCCTGAATATGTGTATTATAGCAGTGTTCGCCTGTATTTATAGAAGACATATACCTTATTGATCCCCTAGGGGAAATTCTTCTTTTCACTCTTTTTATTCTTCACACACACACACACACACACACACACACACACACACACACACACACACACACACACACACACACAGGCTGAAATATGCACTTCACACTTGTGGACATGCAACAGGGAGAGAGATGGTGGAGTGATAGGCTCGCTACGTTAGCTGCGCCCATGAATTATATTTTAATATAATATAATATAATATATATTATAATATAATGAAATTATAGGTAATTTAATTGTTTTTACATATGTAATATCTTTGATTAAGTCTTAAAAAGTCCCAAAAATAAGATTGTATGTCAAATTAAAGCTAAAACTATAATGAAAGTATAGAAAATGTGTGTATTTTTATGAGTCAGTTATTTTCAGATATTTTCCAGTATTTTTTGGGACAAATACAAGCAGGAGTGGCCAAGTCTTTTTGGACCCTACACAATATGAATTAATGCTTTTTTATAGAGATCTGTAATTTCCTTATAATTTACAAGGATGTTTAGCTCACTACAACTTGTATTATATAGTTCATAATGTGCAGCCAACCTGCTGTGACAAACTAAAAGATTCTCTAAGTTAGGTTAGAAATTAAAGGTATATCAATTATCTGTATTTTAACTATAATCAATACCAATACCATTTCTTTTTCAGGAGACATCTATCTTTTTGGCTCTGATTGGTTGTTTTCGTTCAGGTCCGGTGGATTCTTGCAAATACCATTAGGAGCACTAGGAAGAGCCAGAGGAACCTGATCTTTCACAGATTATCTGTTTCATGTTCTACTGTCAGGATATAGTGAAAGTTTCAGCAAATATAACAAAAGGTTATTTTTATAAAAACTACCTACTGCAGCTTTAATACATGTCCAGAGGACCTTTAAGATTAGTCAAATAGCTCAGTAATGTATAAAAAAAATGGTGGCTTTGTTTGGAACGTAACTTTTGCACACAGCAGTATCACAGAGTTAGGGTAGTCAGATCACTGTCACTGTATCTGACTAGATATTCTCTGCTCTGCAGTACCACTAGGCTTGATATTAGGAGAGGTATGGACCAGGAACAAAACATAGTCCCTAGTTCCTTCAGTCTAAACTCAATTCAAAGTTATTCCCAAAATAGGGGTTCTTGGAAAAGTTCCTGCAGTGTTACAGCAGGTCCATAAAATAAATCAGCTGCACTGTCTTGCGGCTCAGTGCCAAGTCCATGAAAGGGCAGTCAATGATCTCATGTTTCAAAGGGAGGGCCATACTGACAGCCTTCATCCTTTATGCATTCAGTAGATGTGCTTGTACACAATAATGTATAAAGAATGTATAGGTATACTGTATTTGATTGCTATGAACTTTTACATTGTGTGGAAGTCATTGAAACTTAAAGGACTATTATATTCCATTTCTGACAATAGATCCTCCTAAATGTTACACACTGGACCTTTAAAGTCCCCCTGCAGTCAAAGATCAGTGTCTCTTCTTGTTCCTACAGTGTGCTGTTTGAATGCTATATGTGCAGAGTTTGACACTAGAAGGATGTTTTCACATTCATCTGCTGAAAGTGGAAAGTTTCTCTGTGCTCACTGAAAATCAGATTTTAAGGGGCAGGCCTACTAACATGATTTGTGACATCACAAATAGTTGGGAAGTCAACCCTGGTCCTGTATTCAATGTGCAAAAGTGTGATGCGGAAACTTGAAGCCACCAGTGCACATCCACAGTGAAGTAGGAGACACCTGTTGTCCACCAGTTCAATTATAGATTCTGGATTTTTAGTATATGTGCTGCAGCAGTAAAGCAGATTCTGATTTTTTTTAATGAAGGACAGACAGACAGACAGACAGACAGACAGACAGACAGACAGACAGATAGATAGATAGATAGATAGATAGATAGATAGATAGATAGATAGATAGATAGATAACTATAGTAACTAAACCCTATGTATATGGGTATTTAGTGGTGTTTTTAAGGTCCAAATTTTGACTTTGTAGTGCAAAGTATTAGAATTCTACATATTGTGCTATAAAACTGCATAGCGACTGCCCTCTACAGCCTGAAACCCAGCAATTGCAATTACAAGTTTCTGCTGTTTTCTACCAGCTTAGCTAACGTTACAACACATGTGGCACACAGAAACTTTTACAAAGGGTCATGAAAGTGCTTCTAGTGACTGGAAAAACTCCAGGGGACTGCTGCTAATGGCTGGTTGGCTCTGACTACTGGCAGCTATACTCGTGCTCTACTGAACGGTAGTCAGTCTGTCCCTCTGGTCGCTCTGTAGCCACATGGACAAGCAAATATTGATATATGTCATTGTTGATTAAATCAGCATATATTTCTAACACCCCTTAAAGTCTCCATGCACATTGTCTGAACACCACATGAATATCTCTTTCCAACCCTGGTAACAAGAAGTAATAGTAGTAGCAGTTTTCTTACCATTTTTCTGCTCCTCTGTCAAGTTCTCAACCTTAAGGGAAACAAAATCGGGATGAACGTTATATATAGTATATCACTGTGTTTACTTGTATCACTGTAGAACAGCTCAGCAACTACACTGACAATCTCTGCAATGACTGCTATGTCACACGGCCTTCTTCACTTACTATTCTTGTTGTGTGGGTACAATAGGGTTGGGTGAGTGGGGCTGGTGGGTCTGACACCAGTTTGTTTTAATAGCCATCAGCTGTCCCTTCTTTTCTTCTCTCTGATCGCCCAACTGTTCTTTGTTCTATTGTCAGGCAAAGACATACAAACTAACCTAAGCAGCCTGTCACCCTGTGCTCTGTCTGACCTTATTGCACCTATTGTTACAGTTTTAGGCAAGTGGAAGGAACACACACTTGGTTTTGTACTGTCAAACATAGTAATTATACATATATTTATTTTACAAAATAATAAACATTATGTAAGTGGTCATCACAGAAAGATATACTATAAACTCCAGTCATTGATGGGCCACAGGAGGGACCTGATTTCAACTTTTTTCATTATTTGAATCAATTCTGTTCTCTACACAGTTATGGAATAAAACTGTGGTGGAAAAATATGTTTTTTTTATGATATGATTTTCTACTTTAAAGCCCCTTATAAGGAACTTTAATGTGTTGTTGATTCCGGTGGCCCCTGTGGACAAAAGTGGTAGTGTTTGTACCACCTCGTTTCATTGATTTCAAGGGGAATCTCACTGTATCCGACCGATTGCTATTTTTTACAGTGTTTGATGCTTATTTTATATATTGTTAGTGATGGTTGTGTTGTTTGATTCCTGTTGTTTTTACTCTGTGAAGAGCTTTGCAAGCACGATTCTGAAAGCTATATAAATAAAGTTTATTATATCATTATATTGATATTATTATTGGTGGCAGGCTTTAAGAATAACTATATAGAAATAGCCAATCTTCTAGGTGCTATAGAGGCATTAGTATTTAACTGAGACAGTTAAAAGCTCCTTGTAGTACGTTTAAATGTTAGAATGTAAATGTCGCCACAGCTCCTTTTAGGATCTTGTTCTATCATTGTTGAACTTGACATTGGAATTACATGAGCAACTGTTAGCAGCTGTCACAACTGCGCCTAAACTTTATCAAATACATGTGTGCCAGTATCATTGAATTGTTTGTTGTTCTATTACATACTTTAAAAGTCATCACCTCAATATCATCAAACATCATATCATACTTGGTCTTATGTGTACTCACCGCTGCTTTATATACGTCATCCATGTCTGCTGCTCCTTCCCTGCCTCTGACACACCGCTACACTCACTGCCGCACACAGACGCAGGACAAATACAGCCAGCAGTAAGTGCCTCAGCCTTTATTGTTGGAGGAGTGTGTAACCAAAAAAGCTCTTGACCCATCCTGCAAGATCCAAGGGTGATGGAGGGGGGAATGACAGAAAGAGAGAGAGAGATCTATAAATAGGAAACAACAGAAGCCATCCAATATTAGTGGGGCACTGACAGCAGCACCTACAAGTGGAAATGCGCTCTTTAGGGCAGTGGTTCCCCAAATATTTCCTCATCATTGTCTAAACTGACGACCCCTGACTAAGTGTAAAACAATCAATTTGGATGAATTTTGAGCAAATCATTTCCTGTGAATATTGCATCAGAGATAAGTTTTCCTAATATTTTTTACACAATTATATGACTGCATTATGTTTTTTAATATATATTTTTAACAATCATACACACTTAAGAAGCTTCTTTTGGGACAAATTCTGTGTTTTCTTCTCCCTGACACTTTTACCCTCATACTTTTCTAATGAAGGACAAGGCTATTAATCAGAGACTGAAGGCTCTCTCATTTAACTAAATGCTGAGATATATCCCTACTGCGTTTTCTTACACCCCTTTAATTTAAGACGGCCTTGCGACCCTGCATTAAGCTTTGGCAACCCCTAGGTGGAAAGCAGGTTGGGAACCACTGCTTTAGGGTTACAAGCTGTCTCTGTATTCAGCTCAGCTCCATTAACTGAAAGTTTTACATTTATGCTTTTTTTCTCAGACTTTACTCCCACTGCCATACAACTCCTAAACATGGCATTTAGCTATTTACATACACATGTAACAAAAAGCAGAGTGCTGTTTGCTTCTGCATATTGAAGAAACAGGCAACTAGAGAGGGACAGGTCGTGGTAGCCAATAGCACTGAATGTGTGTTACATTCCCTCGCCAAGCAGCTACAGTGGTCCTATTAGCTGTAGCAGTTGGCCATGTCAGCTGTACCAGTGAACAGCATGGCTGGACTGGGACCAAATACAGCAACTGATGCCGACGGAGGACAGTTTGACAACAGGGAATACAGTATTGATTTGTGGGTTTGATTCCTGGCACCCTGGATGTGAGTCAGCTAATGTTAGCTGCACAAGCTAACTAGCTAACAGCATCTGATATAGCATCAAGTCCATCTGGGAACTCCATAAATAATTTTGGTACCGCTGACGTCAAACTGGCCTCCGTCTGTCTCGGAGACTGTGTTCAATCCCGGTCCGGTTGTGTTCACTGAGAGGCTTCAGAGCCTGGTTCTGTTGCACTTTGACGGCAGCTACAGCAGTTAGCAGAGCTGATGTCAGAGGGAAAGCCAGAATATATTTTTTCCATAAAATATGATACAGTTTCACCCAACTCACTGATAAAGTTGTATTTTTGTATTTTAATAATAAAGTTTTGTTTTTGTGCAGTGATAAAATTATGTTTTTATTTTGCAGCAGGCAGTAACATTTTAGGCTTCATGCCACTGAGCAGCTTTCATGGGAATAAACGGAGCGCCATCTCCAACGCTGTATCCAGTTCTCTTTATACATCTGTGGGCAGGAAGCCATGCTGTTGCTGGCTAGCCAACTAATGAATCTTAGTTCTGTGTGACTAAAAGTTGAATATTTATTGACGTTGGATGTCATGTTGGATTGGGTACAATATGACTGGGGATATAATCTTTAGGGTTTCTGTTTTTTTAAAGGCATTTTTTCTAACACTACAATGTAACTTTGTGACATGTGTTTTACTGTATGGAGAATAATCATGCCTTCTGAGAAAACAACATATAGCAACTTCAGTAAGTTAACTTCAAAATTGAGATTTAAACTAACAACCAGAGAGCTGGGAGCTCAAACAGATCTAGTTTTGGAAGGTGGCGTGAAAGGCATTCATAGATAGGGGGGAGACACAATATCGTTTAAAAATGGGAGATATCACGCAGCCTCTCCTGGAAGATATTTAGCTGTTCACATTAAAAGTGACAGAAATAGTCATGAATGAAAAAAGAGAGCAAGAGAGAGAGGTTCAAACACTGGCCCCTTTCTCACCTGCACGCAGCTGACCAATCACAGTGTGAACTGGGTATGAATATCAGATTGTCAGTTTCAGAAATTGTTGCACGCAGAGCCTCTTAAGTCAGAAAGGTGTGGAGGGAGGGGGGTTCCCGGAGCTATTCTACCATCTGACAAGCACTTCTGAAGAAGGATACTTGCAGCTTTACTGCACGCTGTCACACAGAGACAGCCAACTAGGCTAAAGCAAGACAGCAATGTTTATTTAAAGCTGGCAAGTAGAGTAGTCATACGTAGCCTTAGATACAGCTAAATTTGATCTAATTGTGTCTGTAATAAAATCTCAGTTTAAGTAAGTTTGCTATACTATAATGAGGCAGTAAAATCCAGTAATGATGAAAAAATTATCACCAGCATAACTGCATCATGAGATTTTTGTGGCTGCCTTTAAATTAAATTTTTAAGTCTTAGTTCAATCAGGAGAGACTTAACAAATATATTTAAATAATATGTGCATAATGAAGATGAGAAATGTGAAAAGTCTTTGGCAATTAGAACCCATCGTGACATCATCGTTTTTGAAGAGGTTGGGGAAGCCCTGATTAGAATAGGAGACCCGCTGATGGAGTCTAGACACTGGTGGTGGTGGTGATGAAAGAATGAAGACAATGCTGAAGTTCTGACTTGTGATGAGGAGTGGACTTCTGATGATCAACCTGTCTGTTAGACCCCATCCCAACTAGGCTGCTTAAAGAAGTTGCACTCTTAATTGGTTAATTGCTTTACTGGATATGATCAATCTTTCTTTATTGTCAGGATATGTACCACAGTCCTTTAAAGTAGCTGTAATTAAACCCCTTCTTAAAAAGCCCACTCTTGACCCAGGGGTTTTAGCCAACTATAGACCGATTTCTAACCTCCCCTTCCTCTCTAAGATTCTGGAGAAAGTAGTCACCAAGCAGTTGTGTGACTTTCTACATAGCAATAGCTTATTTGAGGATTTTCAGTCAGGATTTAGAGTTCATCACAGCACAGAGACAGCTCTGGTTAAAGTTAATAATGACCTTCTGACTGCTTCTGACAATGGACTTGTCCCTGTACTTGTATTATTAGATCTTAGTGCTGCATTTGACACCATTGACCATAATATTCTTTTAAAGAGACTTGAGCATCAAATTGGCATTAAAGTTGGTTTAAGTCATACTTATCAGATCATTATCCGCTTGAACACGCTAACGATGAATCCTCCGTAAATACTACAGTTAGTCATGGAGTTCCACAAGGTTCTGTACTTGGACCAATTCTATTCACTTTATATATGCTTCCCTTAGGCAACATTATTAGGAATAACTCCATTAACTCTCACTGTTATTCAGATGATACCCAGTTATCAAGCCAGATGAAATGATTAACTATCTTAATTACAAGCATGTCTTAAGGACATAAAAACCTGGATGAGGTGCAATTTTCTGATGTTAAACTAAAAACGAAATTCTTGAATTTGGCCCCAAAAACCTTAGAGACCCACTGTCTAAAGATATAGTTACTCTAGATGGTATTACCTTGGCCTCTAGCACCACTGTCAGGAATCTTGGAGTTATCTTTGATCAGGACATCTCATTTAATTCCCACATAAAGCAAACATCTAGGACTGCCTTCTTTCATTTACGTAATATTAAAAAAATTAGACACATCCAGACGGATGCAGAAAAACGAATCCATGCATTTGTTACTTCTAGGCTGGATTACTGCAATTCGTTATTATCAGGTTGCCCAAATAAGTCCATTAAGACGCTCCAATTAATTCAAAATGCTGCAGCACAAGTACTGACAGGAACTAGGAAAAGAGATCATATCTCTCCTGTATTAGCCTCTCTGCATTGGCTCCCTGTAAAATTTAGAATAGAATTTAAAATTCTCCTCCTCACCTACAAAGCTCTTCATGGTCAGGCCCCTACATATCTTAAAGAGCTCATAGTACCCTATTACCCCACTAGAACACTACGCTCTCTGAATGCAGGGCTACTTGTGGTTCCTATAGTCTCAAAAAGTAGAACAGGAGCCAGAGCCTTCAGTTACCAAGCTCCTCTCCTGTGGAACCAGCTTCCAGTTGTGGTTCGGGAGGCAGACACCCTCTCCACATTCAAGAGTAGGCTTAAGACGTTCCTCTTTGATAAAGCTTATAGTTAGGGCTGGATCAGGTGAGTCCTGAAGTTATTCTGCTCTAGGCCTAGACTTTCGGGGGATTTCCCATGATGCACTGAGCTCCTCTCTTCCTCTCTCTCTCTCTTTCTGCACACATTCATGTTCAATTAATGGAATAATTATTTTAATTGAAAAGTGTTCTGTTATGAATTGGTGCTTTTCAAATAAAATTGAATTGAATTGAATTGAATTGAATTGAACTGAATTGAATTGAATTGATGAGCTCAGCCTGGACACTGGACATGATGAACTGGAGGTAAATGGGGTGGAGGAAGAGTTGCAATGATTTTACTCTTAAATGACAGCTGAAAGCAGCAGAGAGGAGAATAGATTAATAATAATAATAATAATAATAATAATAATAATACATTTAATTTATAGATCAGTACAATCTCGGATTTGTTTGGGGAGAGAGTTCCAGAGGGAGGGGGCAGCAATGGAGGAGACTCTGTCGTCCCAGGTATGATGTTTGGTCCTCAGTGGTGGAGACAGGAGGTTGGCATCAGAAGAGTGGAGGCTTCGGGAAGGAGTATGGCGATGGAGCAGGTCTGCAAGGTAGGAGGGGGCCTGGTTGTGGAGAGCTTTGTGAGTGAGGAGAAGGACTTTAAATTGGTTCAAACTCCCTACATGTCAATTTTTTTGTTATTTACAAATTAGGAACTTCGTCAAGCAATCATTTTCTTGCCTAGATGCGACCCCCATACAACATGTCTTCTATGATATTATGACCAGACCTTCCACCGCCAAACGTTTGATCTCTCGGTTTGTTAACCTCTTCACTATGGCAACCCCCTCTCTCCATATTAAAGAGGCGTGGATCAAGGACACCGGTGAAGTAATCTCTGACGAGCAATGGGCCAACGGGTTAAATAAGATAAAAGCATGCTCTATTAATGCTCGACTTCAGCTCATTCAGTTTAAAGTAGTTCATAGGCTATTACAAGACTAAACTGAATAGAATTTTTCCTGCTGTCTCTCCCACTTGTGATAAATGCAAATCATCTGATGGAACTCTTGGGCATCTTTTCTGGTCCTGCTCTAAGCTCACAAGTTTCTGGGTTGATATTTTTAGTTTGTACAGTGCTGTTTATAATAGACAACTGGTTCCTGACTGTCTCTTAGTGATACTGGGCTGCTCCAACGGTTCTTTGGCTCTTCCATCTACTTTACAAGAAGCCCTCATGTTTGGTATGGCCATTGCAAAATGGGTCCTCCTAAAGGAGTGGAGGTCAGCTTCCCCTCCCTGCTTCAAGAGGTGGCTAAAATATATGGTTTCCTGTTTACACCTTGAAGAAGTTTGGTTTTCTATGTCTAACTTCCAAGATAAGTTTAAGAACATCTGGGGCCCTTTCATAGAATACATCAGGAAGGATAGACCACTGCTGCATATGCTGCTATAGGCCTAGACTATCAGGGGGATTTCCCATGGTGCACTGAGCTCCTCTTTTCCTCTCTCTTTTTGCACTCATTCATGTCCCATTAATGCATGTTACTAACTTCACTTCTTCCCCGGAGTTCTTGTGCTTTCTCGTCTCGCAGGTTCTTATCGATCCTGGTGGAGCCTCCTGCCATGGTCCTGCTAGATTGCCATTGCCAATACTGTTGTTGCTGTTCTCTCTCTCTCTCTCTCTCTCTCTCTCTCTCTCTCTCTCTCTCTCTCTCTCCAACTGGTTGAGACAGACGACCACCCACCTAGAGCCGGAGGATCTGTCCTAGGTTTCTGCCTTTTAACAGGCAGTTTTTCCTTGCCCTTGTCGCCAAGGTCTTGCTCATGGTGGTACTGTTGGGTCTCTGTAAATAATCTTATAAAGAGTTTGGTCTAGACCTACTCTATTTGAAAAGTGTCCTGAGATAACTTCTATTATAAATTGGCGCTATACAAATAAAATTGAATTGAAATTGAATTGAACCACAAACTTGGACCTAAATGCACTGTACTGTTTTTTTTTACCTTTGTTAGTCCATACTGAGACTTTGCCATTCCCCTTCGGCTCAGGCCTCCTGGACTTAATCTGTGTGAGTGGACATTCTGAGACATATGTTCAGTGAATTGACATGTATAATTATACATTTCCTTTTCTATGTAATGAGTAAGTGCTGGCTGTATGTTTTGTTTTTGTTTTTGTCTGGTTCCATGTCCTTTTTTTGTATTGTGTGTGCCTGTATGCATAAAACATGTTCATAAATAAAATTTACAAAAAAAAGAGAGCTCAATGTCATTTGTGTGGAAGTTCAGACTTATTATTTCTTCAAATATCTTGCCATTGTTTTGCTGCGCAGCATTATGTTTTTGACCTGTGTTGTTGTTATGTATCAAGCATATAAATAATTCAAAATTGACTCAAAATCTAAATCAGCCCACTGGCAGTTGAAATATGGCCACTTCTGGTTTAAACAGCCATTTTGTATTTTGTCCAAATCAGCCAATATTGCTGAAATACTGTCCATATAGGGGAAATATGTTTATTAATGCAAATTATGCTAATTGCCTAACATAAGCAAGTTGACAGTTTCTAAATGCTGGGGATCCATACTGTACATTTCTAACATATAACTTTGGGGTACTCAACATTTCACAATAGAGAACTATTGGCTGACAAGAGTTAAAAAAGAAAAATCACAATTTATCTGTCATATTAGTTTTAAACATGAACAAATAACCATTTTTAATAAGGATCCCTTGAATATTGTTATAAAGGAATAGTGACCCAGATACATGTATGTACTGAGCATGACAGTTAGAGTGTAAAAATAAACTTGGCAGCAACACCTCAGACTTATTTTCTGCCTTAATGTACTGACATTTATTTTCACTTAATACCAAAACCGAACTATCTGCAATAAGCTAACATCAGCCAATATGCATTCATCAGTCAGGCTAAGTGTTGTTCACAGGGTGAAGTGAAGGATCAGTTGAAAAGCCCTGCCAACAATTGGGATGGCATCACAGAAAATGCTTGTTAGGTCACTCATATCCATTTCACCATAAATACATAGGCTCTCCATATTTGTACTTTCTGAAGGGCAGCCACTCTAGTGATATTGAAAGAAATTAAATGTTTAGTTTTCACAACTACATATAATCTTCCTTATTTTCTATGCCCCGAGTATAGAGTGGCGTCAGATGTCTACATAACAATACATACAAAGACAGGGCTATTCTGAATGTGTCCTTGACTACAAATAGTAGTCCTCTACTAGTGGGGAGGGTAATAAATCTCTGTTGTAAGGCTAACAGTATGCAGGATAGACAGATCACACCTGCCAATGTGTAGCAGCTGCAGAGTAAGCTCAGAGGTCAGAGGTCAAGCCTCTGACTTTAGGCCTGGTCTGTATGGATGGACAGTGATAATTTTACTAATCTATTGACAAAATGTACTGACAAAAATGACAACAAACTGTAGCTTCACAGGTTATCACACTGCTTCAAGTCGGAAGAGAGTTACAAATAGCATCAGTAAATACTGACAGATCACTCAAATGCTAGGTTCTCCTTTTTTTAAAGATCACCAGAGATCACTGGTGGATTAAACATGATAAAGTGACCTCTAAGGTGTCCTTCCAGTCAGGGGCGTTTCCTGACTTTTTTGACTGAGGTGGCACAGGACCGGCACTGACTAATGTAGGGTGGCATGCTAGCACAGCATGTTTGCCAATGGATGCAGTAGGTCATCTAATTTCATATGATACCAGTATTTTCACTCTAGAAAGCAGAGCCTGCTACAACCTCAGAAAGACAGTGTGGAAAGGAAGAAGGAAGAATAATGGGGTGGGACTTGGGTGGCCAATCAGATTTCAGGCAGTGCCACCCCAGTGGCAGAACTAGACTTTTATACAAGGGGTGGCCAGAGGGTGGTCAAGGCTTTATAAGGGGGGCCATATACTAGGCCTAATAAAGGAAAATACTGGGATACTTTAACCTGGTACCTAACATGCCGTCTTGACTGTTGAGTTACACAAAAAGAGCTTTATGACGAACTGAAAGTGGATGGAGGAAATGGACCTAAGTTTCACTTTCAGTTTCTGGCGCAGCAATTAAACTGGCGCACCGTCATTCATTCAGAAAATTTAAATATGAAGTATTCACTGAAAGTGTGCCTTCTCCATCCATGCCAGTGACTTGAAAGACATTTATTCTGTCTTCTCTGTTTGCGTTTAAAAATTGTGCTGTTTTCGACGTGAGGTGCAGTGACCTGTCAAACAACTGGGGTTGCACCCAAGGTGTCCAATCAGGTTCCAGAGGTGGCCAGTGCTACCCCGGCCACCCCTCTAGCTCCGCCCCTGTGCCACCCCAGGCCTACCTTCTGGACACGCCCTTGAGTTGAGGGCTCATTGTAGAGGGGGCGAGTACTTGTAGTGGGCCCTTATACAACCTATAGGCTGAGACTACGGAACAGAGAGAAATGTGGATTACAATGTGTGCTATTTCACCACCATGGACAGTGCCATGGATTTATCATTAAACAGCAGCCTGCTGTACCAAGGCTGAGTACTTGCTGCAGCAGCCAAGGGTTCCAATCTGACCTGTGGCCCTTTGCTGTGTGTCACCCCCCCCAAGTTGTAGAAACATCGAGAAGATGATCAGTGAAAACAGGATGCACCTCAGCTCAATTTTGAGTGTCATGGCAAAGGCTGCGAATACTTAAGTACATGTGATTTTTTTGGTGTTTATTTTTAATAAATTCGCAAAAATGAATGAATTTGATCCATTTTGGAATAAGGCTGTAAAATAACAAAATGTGAAGCACTGTGAATACTTTCCGGATGCACTGTATGAAATAACCACTGGATTTCACCAGAGCACCAGCATCTCAAACCAAAACAATGCAACAGAAAAAAAAAAACAAACTCCAAAACAGTCTTTCCACAGTCTTCCACACCAAACCAATGTGGGTAATTGTTTCAAAGTATTCTTCTCAAGTTACTTTTTAACTGCTGATGTTTAATGGATTATCAAAGCAGGCATTAGAAAGGGGAGATCCATGTAGAAAAGATCTACTTCCAACAAAGCTCATTTCTCTGATAAATGCTAAAAAATATAAATGGATCAAACTAGGACATTTAATTTTCTTAACAAATATACAGATACAGCAGGAAAACTGTTTTTGAACCTGTGCAGAACTCATGCAATTACAATATATTTCTCCCAGTGCTCTGCAAACAAACAGCCAGGGCATCAGTCTCCATTTGGTTTCTGTTTCTCCAAATCTTCAGTCCCTAAATTACTTCTTCTCCTGCACTGTTCTGGTCAGCGTGGTCACATGTCCAAACCTGTGCTTGCTGCAGCATTATATTTTTCTTGGTTTTCATTTGCCCACAGTAACCTTAACCCTAACCCTGAACTGCCCATTTGGTTAAAGCTGCAGTAGGTAACCTTATATAAGAATATTTCCTGACAGTAGTACATGAGACAGATAATCTGTTTGGGAATGAGACTGAACAATCAAGTATCATTCTGAGCTCTGATCTGATTTTCATTCAGGCTCGGTAGATTCTTGTAAATGCCATTAGGTGCACTAGGAGGAGCCAGAGGAACCTGATTATTTCACAGATTATCTTTCTCATGTACTACTGTCAAGATATAGTGATCTGTTGTATTGGCTATAAACATGCAGATTAAATTTACACATTGCTATAAAAGAACACTCCTTCAATAAGTATCTGTGAATTTGTGTGTTTAAAAAAATCTCTATCATTGAACTATAATACTTATTATCTTTCAGCATGCTCCTCATTACTTGAAGTGAAGGGGAGTAGGTTTTAAGTTATGAGTTCATTTTAAAAAACGTTCTTCTGTTGCACTTAAGGAGTTTGCAGCCTGGCCCTGGATGGCTGAGTGGATCTTTCTCAGGTTCTGTCGGACTCTAACAAACTCCATCAACTGGGCCTCCTCTCGTACCTTCTCCTCCTGTTCCTTCTCCCTCTGCAAGAGAAAAGAACAGCATGTAAAGATGGCAGAAACTGTTATTTCAAGATGAGGGCAAAATGTATGATTTGAGAAACATAATGTGAACAGAAAGATGTACACAATCTGTAAATGTACAGGGCTTTTCCTGTTTATTTAAAAAAAAGTTTTCTATTTTTTAAATATAATTGTATTATATTTATTTTTTTTAAATATTAATAAAATACAGATGTTTTCACAACAAAAAACACTGATTAAATGTTTTTTTTTTATCAGTGTATAGGCAATGGTAAACTGTCAAAATATAGTTTCACCACTGAAAGTAGCAATAATCACTGTAATTTCACAGATGGTGACTTTAATTACAGCTCTATAACTTTTAAAATTCTGATTAAAATAAGAAAGATATAATAATAACAGCACTCTTCTGTAAATTTGTATTATAGCAGTGTTTGCCTGTATTAATAGACAAAAAACCCCCATTGTTTTTACATGTTTAAATACCTTTAATTAAACATTAAAAAGCCCCAAAAAATACATAGCATGTCTGTAATAAACATTTCGTTTTCCTATATTTCCTGTATTCATTTTGTATTCTTGCTTTCTATTTCTGTATTTGCATTTGAAATGCACTACTGTATATGCTGTATATACTGTTATAATTCTACTAATTTAATTAAAGTCGCAGTGTGCTGGGTATTAAAGCTGCAGTAGGTAATTTTTATAAAAATAACCTTTTGTCATATTTGCTAAAACTTTCACTATATCCTGACAGTAGAACATGAGACAGATAATCCTCTGGCTCCTCCTAGTGCTCCTAATGGCATTTACTAGAATCCACCGGGTCTAACAAAAACAACCAATCAGAGCCAAGAAAGTTAGTTGATTGTTGAGTCTCATTCACAGGTTATCAAATACAGACACTTTGGGATTATGACATAGGACATTGAACAAGAGAAGTCAAAAGTAGAAAGCGCCCTCTGCTGTTTAAAAAGAGATACATTTTTAATCTCTGATTTGAATCTTTACATATTTATATTGTAAGTGCCAGACCCCTTAGCCCATATATATTGTGATTTAACTGTCTTGTGATAGATATTTACATTCCTACTCACATTGCTGGATGGAATGAGAAACACAGTTGTATGGAGTTATTATTGTAGCGAAACTACACTGAACAAAATTATAAATGCAACACCCCATTCATCATGAGCTGAACTCAAAGATCTAAGACTTTCTCTATGTACCTATTTCTCTCAAATATTGTTCACAAATCTGTCAAAATCTGTTAGTGAGCACTTCTCCTTTGCCGAGATAATCCATCCACCTCACAGGTGTGGCATATCCAGATGCTGATCAGACAGCATGGGTATTGCACAGGTGTGCCTTAGGCTGGCCACAATGAAAGGCCACTCGAAAATGTGCAGTTTAACTGTATTGGGGGGGTCCAGGGGGGTCCGGAAACCAGTCAGTATTTGGTGTGACCACTATTTGCCTCACGCAGTGCAACACATCTCCTTCGCATAGAGTTGATCAGGTTGTTGATTGTGGCCTGTGGAATGTTGGTCCACTCCTCTTTAATGGCTGTGCGAAGTTGCTGGATATTGGCAGGACCTGGAACACGCTGTCGTATACGCCGATCCAGAGCATCCCAAACATGCTCAATGGGTGACATGTCCGGTGAGTAAGCTGGCCATGCAAGAACCGGGATGTTTTCAGCTTCCAGGAATTGTGTACAGATCCTTGCAACATGGGGCCGTGCATTATCATGCTGCAACATGAGGTGATGGTCGTGGATGAATGGCACAACAATGGGCCTCAGGATCTCGTCACAATATCTCTGTGCATTCAAAATGTCATCAATAAAATGCACCTGTGTTCATTGTCCATAACACACGCCTGCCCATACCATAACCCCACCGCCACCATGGGCCACTCGATCCATAACGTTGACATCAACAAACCGCTCACCCACACGACGCCATCTGCCCTGTAAAGTGAAAACCGGGATTCATCCGCGAAGAGAACAACTCTCCAAGGTGCCAGACGGCATAGAATGTGAGCATTTGCCCACTCGAGTCAGTTGCAACGACGAACTGCAGTCAGGTCGAGACCCAGATGAAGACGACGAGCATGCAGATGAGCTTCCCTGAGACGTTCCTGACAGTTTTGCTGAAATTCTTTGGTTATGCAAACTGATTGTTGCAGCAGCTGTACGGGTGGCTGGTCTCAGACGATCTTGGAGGTGAAGATGCTGGATGTGGAGGTCCTAGGCTGGTCTGGTTACACGTGGTCTGCGGTTGTGAGGCCGGTTGGATGTACTGCCAAATTCTCTGAAACGCCTTTGGAGATGGCTTATGGTAGAGAAATGAACATTCAGTTCACGGGCAACAGCTCTGGTGGACATTCCTGCAGTCAGCATGCCAATTGCACGCTCCCTCAAAACTTGCGACATCTGTGGCATTGTGCTGTGTGATGGAACTGCACGTTTTTGAGTGGCCTTTTATTGTGGCCAGCCTAAGGCACACCTGTGCAATACCCATGCTGTCTGATTAGCATCTTGATATGCCACACCTGTGAGGAGGATGGATTATCTCGGCAAAGGAGAAGTGCTCACTAACACAGATTTTGACAGATTTGTGAACAATATTTGAGAGAAATAGGTCTTTTGTGTACATAGAGAAAGTCTTAGATCTTTGAGTTCAGCTCATGATGAATGGGTGCAAAAACAAAAGTGTTCCGTTTATAATTTTGTTCAGTGTATTTACAAATGTGCGTTGGGAGTTGTGTAACTATCTTAATCCATGTGTGCGTAATCAGATGTGTAAAATAATCTGTAAATATGTATTGAGATTTGTAAATATGTAGAAAAATCTACAAATGTATGTATAGATCTGAAAATGTGTAACATACATAGACAGGGGCATGGGCACCCTGACTGGTCTGGTACGCAGCCCCATACGCAACAAACTGCGATGCACTGTGTTCTGACACCTTCTATCAGAACCAGCATTTATTTCTTCAGATTTTTTGGGCTATAGTAGCTTGTCTGTTGGATTGGACCACCAGGTCAGCCTTCACTTCACTTTTGATAGGTACTGATCACTGCAGACCGGGAACCCCCCACAAGAGCTGCAGGTTTGGAGATGCTCTGACCCAGTCGTCTAGCCATCACAATGTGGCCCTTGTCAAAGTCGCTCAGATCCTCACACTGCCCATTTTTCTTGCTTCTAACACATCAACTTTGATGACAAAATGTTCACTTGCTGCCTGATATATCCCACCCACTGACAGGAGCCATGGTAACCAGATAATCAGTGTTATTCAGTGTGGTCACAATGTAATGGCTGATCTGTGTTTGTCTGCATTTACAGTTTTCATATATATATATACGCATTTACAGATTTGTCTAGATATTTACAAAACTCTATACATTTGCAAATCTGATTACACACACATGGATTGAGATACAGTTACACAGCTCTCCACTCACATTTGTGACTAGTTTTGCTACAATAATAGCTCCATACAGCTACTTTTAAATATTATGAAAGACTTGTATATCAACAGGTTTTTGGATCTGCAAAATTGTCACAATGCCAACATTCTCAAGATGATGGCTGAATGAATAAAAAAGGTAGGCTGTGTTTGCACGGTCGAACAAGTCTGCCACCGGTGAAAACCTTAGTGGAATACTCATTTTCAAGTGCCATGTAAAGTAGGAAGTAGCTTAATAGGAACATTGTCTTTTTCAGAATAAGGGCATATTTGGAATATTAGATAATATAGAATATACATACTATAGAAGTCAGTGAGGGATCATTTGCATGAAAATACTAAATTAAGCATTTTCTGCCCTTGCTAAACGGACTCCTTATAAACAGAATTTATTACCTCAAGTTGTTTCTGCTGACGTCTGAGTAGCACATCTTCCAGAGGAGTCCTGCCCTGTCCCTCCTCTTCCTGGTCACTTTGGACCCTCTTCCTCCTCTCCAGCACCTGCTGAAGTTCTGACCTGCTGCTAAGTGCCAGACCCCTTAGCCCATAAAGGAAGAGATATGGTGGAAGAAGTCAAAAGACTGGTTGTTTTTAGACAGTAAGACAGGGTCTAGTTTTCTCAAATTTTAAAAATCAATTAAAAAAAAGAAGATGCATTTTAACCCAAACTAATCACAATAATTTAGTTACAGTACAGACTACATACAGTGCCTCTTTATCTCGACATCTTAAATAACTGCACACATCTGATGGAATCGATATTATCAGTAGCCAGTGACATATCCATCTAGATGACATCATTTTCAGTTGACACATTAACTATGAAATATGTCAAGTTAAGAACCTGACTTGTTGCTTCAAACAGAACTTGGGACAAGTATAAAACACATTTGCTGTTTTCACTAAGCACAGATCAAGTCAACCAAATCAACCTAACCTTGCAAAGCCGCTGGACTGGAGCTCATTAAATCACAAGATCACATTACATTCTGTCTTGCCAGGCTTCAAGCTATGTGCTTGTGTCCAACCACAGTGATTTAGACTAATCAGCATCCTATGAGGAACTACTGGTAGCTGAGGGCGTGGTTCAACGCTATGTGCATATTGACCTGTGTGAAAAGTGACTATTTGTTGGAAAACAACAATGACAGCTGCTAAAGAGGTTAGACTAGATGTTGCTAGCACCAGCTCTATCAGAACTGGAGAGTATTTCTTCATTGAAAGAAGATCAAAGAATGGCACTGAAAGCTTTTCCTGATAGAAAAGACATTTTTGCTCTTCTCCAGATTGACTTCGGAAAGAGTCTGACTACCTTATAGGCTTTGTTGATCTGATTGGTTGAAGTTCGCCCATGATAGACAGTGATAGATGGTTCATCCAATCACCTGCTAAGTTTTCTTTTTTGAAGGACCTTCAAATCAACCAGGGCTATTACATTTAGGATTGTCCTTTCTGTTTATATATATATTCATATATCATTATTGAATTACTTGATTTATTAAAATCCTGTGCATTGCTGCATGGTGACTCCTGCTAGGGAATTACTGGACTTACTTGAAATATTTAACCAAAACTGTACATCAGTTCACATCTTTCAAGCTTTATCTGAGTATATGTGTTAATAGAACCACATTCGGGCCTCTGTGATTCAACTTACCCATAAACTCATAAACTGGTGGCAATATAATACAAGGCAGCAATAAATTTGCTGTCTCCCATACATGATAAAACCGGGCCAGCCAGTAATAAATAAATCATCTTTGTTTGAACCAAGTGTGAGCCTATCATGACGCACCTATTGGTTTGTTGAGTACCGCTTTGAAGCCTCAAGTTTGGCATAATTGCCATCGCCATGTTGGTTTTTTGGAGCCAGTAGTGTTGACTGCGAGTTGAGCTGCTCTCATTGGTTGTGCTTGGTTTCAAATCATCCATAGCAGAAAACAATGGCGACTTCCCTGGTCACACACAATCTCATATTATGATCTTGATTGGTATTTGATCAGCACTGCCTAGTTTGACAATTTAATCTGAGTTTGGTGCGTTCAGCTGGACAGACTCACTGAGAATGACCTGTCAATCACAAGGTAGCCACACCCTAAAATATACCCTGCTTTGTCGTCTATTTTACTCTAAATGGGACCATCATTTCCTAAATGAACATCATGCTGTATGGAAGAAGACTGAAACTAAAGATTAAGACCGTAAACTCATTAAGAAACTGTTTACTGAGCTAATAAATCAAGTCAGAAGTAGACTCATTTCTCCATAAGACTCAGTTCTAAATGACTTTTTTGCTGCCCATGGAGCTGCCCCCTGCTGGCCATTAAAAAGAATCCAGGTTTAAGACACTTCTGCGATGGCTTCACTTCACAGAGCTGGAAGCTCCACTAATTATGTACTCTCAATGTTTTAAACCAATTTTTGAAAATAGTGCCGTGTTGAAATGCATACTATAAAAAAAAATCATAAAAATGTTTACAGGGGTTTATTGTTTATTTTACTGATATTTTTTGGGGTGTTTTTGAAATATATGGATATATTAATAACATTACAAAAATAGCCTGTAAATTTACATGTCTAATGTAAAATACTGTGAAAAATCTGTAACTGTAAATCGTTTTTTCACACATTTGTTTTGCAGATATATATTGTATTATAGTTGTAGTCTCAGATACTGTATTGTCTGCATGATAATTGACGAACCAAAATACTAATGGCAAAATTATATTAGGATCATTACAAACTTGAGATGTTAAAATAGATTCGTTTTTAAGTTCTGCTAAAAAGTTTTTCTTGTTCCAATGTTGAACTGTGAGGTCAGATTAACAGGCAACAACAACAAGATCCATTGCTTTCACTGCTACAATGTGTGCTATCAGGTGGTTGTGGAGCCAGGTCAGTCCTCCTATGAACATATCACTTTACAGTGCTTCATGCTCCCAGTGGCCTAAAGGCCTGCAGCAGCATGGAGAGAAGGTGTATGATTCCAAGTTTGTAAGAGAGAGAAAGAGACTCATGTATACTTAATGACACCTGCTTTAGAGAAGAATGACTGAGGATTGAAGCATGGGGTGCATTTTGATGACAGACACAAAAGCACATAAATCCTTACAAAAAGCTGAGTCAAGATAGTTTAATGGCCCTTTGTTTTTCTCCTCATATTACAAAGGAATAATGCTTGTTTGTGGTTATCACATCAGTGTTCTACCAGTCATGTTTTAGAAAGGATCTGAGCGTTCTGTTGCTCCTCTATGGTACCTACTTCTTGTGGGCCAGGAGCAGTTCTTTGTGAAGCTCGTTGTGAGTCCTGGAAGCCTTAATGGGGTTTGATTGACCTGAGGAGGCTTCAGCTTTGACTCCATTATCTGACAGGAAAATCATGTCAAAAACACACATCAAAACAACATTGAATAAATACAGATATATTGATTTCACTCTGCTGTGCAGCAGGGAGAAGAGATGGTGCATGGTAGAATTACTTTCAAGAACCCAGTGAAATTTAAGAGCTGATATGATCTTTACAATGTTGAGTGGACATGGAATTGACCCTTTTTACGTTTTTGCTCTGTGCTCCAATAACAGTTGAGTAAGCCTCAGTCAGAACGTCGGTCAACTTTCTCTTTTCCTATTCTTAGATATGCAATTGCCAGGCTAATCTATGTTAAAAAGACAACCAAATTTTGAAGATGGTTAAAAGATAAGTGTCATATAGTCACATCTTAAAGGTCCAGTGTGTAACATTTAGGAGGATTTATTATCAGAAATGGAATATAATATTCATAGCTATGTTTTCATAAGTGTATAAACACCTGAAAATAACAAGACATTGCACGTCGCTTTCCATGGAGTCCTCTATGTTCAGCCGCCATGCTATTTACAGTAGCCCGGAACAGACACACCATACACTGGCTCTAATGAGTTAGCTGCCAATTGATGTGGATTATCTCGTGAGTTAGCTAGAATTTTGCTAACATTGCTAACTAATTTAAATTCAACTACATGTGACTTTTAACCATCTTCAAAATGTGGTTGTCTTTTCAACATAGCACATAGCATATCTAGGAAAGGACAAAGTTGACCGAGGTTCTCATTGAAGCTTGCTCAGCTGTGATTGGAGTACAGCATACAAGGGGCGGGAAGGAGTCAGTTACTTTCCTCACTGAATAATGTTTGCATTGCTGTTAGCTTGGCTGCTAAGGATGGGACATTATGATGATACTGTGATAATTCCATCCTGAAGAAATAATTAAACATTCTTAAATTTGCTTTATTTCTGAGTGTGTCATAAGACAATCAGTATCAACCTCGTGTCTGTGTATGGAGTCAAACCATGCCTCGCTTAGCCCAAAGCTAAACCCCTCTAAAACTCACTAATTAACACATTGTATCTTTTCTTTATCTGTACACACATATAATTGATTTCAGCACTTACAGGACAGACAATAGATTGATACTGATCTTGACATCTTGCTCTTAGGTTTAGGATACTAAAATAAACTAATAAACTAAAATCACTCTTCCAACATGCAAAGCAATTTTTAGAAAATGAAATCAGGCATTTTAGGCCACAACGATCCCAATAAAAAGAAATCCTGAAGGAACTGATTGAAATATGAGCTGCTCAACGAAGAATATATCTCTAATCCCATCTGTGGGAAGGGGCTACAGATATTATGTCATAAGCGACCTCAGATGGCCATTTTGCGAGGACTGTCCAAGTTTCACTGACCTCTTCTGTGATTGTTGCTCTGCAGATGACTATTGTTCATCCTGCTTCTGGAGGCCAGCTGGATCTCCGTATGCATGTGATTATTGCTGTGAGGAAATGAACCATTGAGGGACATGGTGGCCAGTGAGGCGTGAGGTGTATTCAGTTAGAGTAAGAAGCTTGGACCAGGGATGGGACGGTTTGATTGTCAGGGGAGACAAAAGAACGGGGCGGCAGAAGAGGTTCTCAGTGCAGGCTTGATGGAGGGCAGCACCTGAGGACCTGGTGTGGAGCCCCAGCTCCTGTTGCATGCTGGGTAGCTGCTGGGGGGCGAAGGGTGATGAAGAGAGATTGAAATCAGAAAGCAGAGCAGACAGAGACACAGCAGCGTGGAAACAGATATCTTACGTAGATATGTATAATTTATCATTCGAGTGAGCAGGCGTATATGTAAATGACTCATCACACAGCAGATAAGCAATGATACAGTGACAGAGATTCAATGCCAAATCTACCATCGAGCTCACTGAGCTAGAAGAGGCAGGAGAAAAGAAATGGTGTACGATTATAGAGCTAGAAAATGTAAAAACTGATGAAAAGCATGTGGCATCACAAGTGACAAAGTATTACGGAAAAAAAAAAAACAGATGCACACACACTAGCAGTTACATCAATTTACAACCAACCCTAAATTTGCTCTATTTTTTACTTAAAAGTGAGAATTACACAAATGTTTCACATGGAGAACTATATGTTTATATATATATATATAGCACATAAAAAACTAAATTTAATGTTACAAAAATGACAAATTACAATAAGCGGACTATATTTCTCATCCTAATCATTCAATCATGTGTCTTAAGAGCATGTTGAAATTTAAGGTCACTCCACAGTGGAGCAATGTGACAATTGGAGACAGTAACAGCTGCATGTAGTTCTGTATACTTCACATAATGCATTCAAATCTGAAGAAAGAAAATGCATACAGGCCCTACCTGTGCTGTACCGGTCCTTCATGAGAGGCTGCTGTCTGAGAACATTAGCCATCGCGTGGAGCTGACGGACAGCGATACTATTGAGAGCAGTGTTACTTGAGAGCCCTGAATGTGGCACTTGCTTACTGTCCGGCCCCTCATGTTCACAGTCAACAGGGAGACACTGTTCGACAAGTAGGAGTTGATGCATTGCAGTACTGATGACTGTGCTTTCTGTTTCTGTTTATATACAACAGTCATGATACCACTGACACACTGCTGCTGGGATTCTCATTTCTGCAATATAAAATGTTGCTTTACTATCAAATAATATTAACTGCAAAGTTTTCCAGGACACTGTTACAACCAGTTTACCTCATTTATTCCATTTAACAAACACATATACAGTCATATGTATCTGTACATATTCAGGTTTTTCATCATTTTATTATCTGTCATTTGTAACTCCAGTTGAGTATTAACTTTATCAGTGTATCAATTTAACACATACAGGTCACTTTCCTAGCCGTGCTATATAAAGCCAGTGAAAACAGCTGAATCAGTATGTATGAAGTTGGAGGCTACAATTTTTTAAACTTTCTTGTATGTGTTCTATAAATAGGCTAGTTCTCTCGTTCTTCTGATTAAAAACACTGCTCTAATAGTCTTCTAATAAATGTATCAATTTATGATCAAGCCATCATTTCAGACGTAACTTGAGGTTGGCCCGCCCATTTTAGGTTTAAGCACCACCTATGTCCTGATTAAGCCCTGCCGATTACAAGTATGGATACAAATGCAGATCATTCAGTTGTGTACGTTTTGGAAGTTCAGATATACTTTAATAATCCCGTGGGGGAATTACTTGTGGGGGGAACAGGGGGGGAGAAAAACAAGAGGAGAGGGGAGGAGAAAAAAGCAGCTCCCAGACTCTGCTCCTGTAGGGGAGTACAGTGTGGGACATGGAAAAAAACCTCAGCAACATAAGCACATATGATCACACTTTACAACTTGCAACGGGGAGGTGGGAAAGGGGGGGTGGAGGCGCACCAGCGGAACCCCGCCTGTCGCACTGAGGGTAAAAAGCGGCGAAGGCGGGGGGGGTAGAGGGGTGTGTGGCATATGCGCATGTGTAAGTGTCCATGGGTGCGTGTGTGCACATAAGCCTGGAGAGTCTCTTCGTCTAGCCTCTCAATCAGTGCCTCAGTTCACGTGGTGTCATCGCGATAACACAGCAGGTTGCCATGGAGACGTCCCTGATCGGGTCCTAAACAGAGTCATCTACAGGTGTCCGTGTGGGAGGGGAGGGAGGGGAGGGAGGAATAGGGCCGAGCGTCTCACTGCAGCGATCTCCTGGAGGAGTTGTTCCAGCAGCGTGCTACTGAGGGCCGGAAGGCAGATTACATTATGACTGTTTGGGTTGGGGCGAGTAGTCACATTTCAATAGACACGACTTACTCTGATTGTCCATTCTGGTCTTCAGATCGATTCATTCTCCTTTGCAAAGCCGAAAACTTCTCCAAGAAGTTTTCCATGTTGCGGTTTATACCCACAGTCTGAGCACTAACAGCTCTATCCAAGGTGTGATCCATGTTGCGGTGTATAACCACCATCAGTGCATTAACAGCTCTATCCAAGAAGTTTTCCATGTTGCGGTTTATACCCACAGTCTGAGCACTAACAGCTCCGTACACTCCATCGATCATGTCGGGCAGCTTCATGGGGCTTTGGACTGCTGACACCGTCTTCCGAATTTTCCGATACACCAGGGCAATGCCTAATCCAGTCAGCAGATAGCCTGTTGTCATGGTTCACGTATTGAATGTCTATTTTAAGTTAAAAAAGTTGAACAGACAGATAATTGTGTTTTCCCTCCTCACTAGCTAAACACTGGTTTAGATGAGCTAGCTTGTGTAGCATTTGGCTAACATCAACTACCTAAACATTTTACATATATATAACGCTATACACATATATATATATACATATATATACATACATATATACATATGTATATGTATGTATACATATACACGTATGTATACACATATATATATATAAATACATATGTAACGTTATATGTATATATACATATACACGTATGTATATATATATATATATATATATATATATATATATATACACACATACATACATACATACACACACGTATATATATATATATACGTTGTGTATGTATGTATGTATATTATGGTGTATATATATATATATATATATATATATATATATATAAAAAAAAAAAAAAAAACAATACACACATATATATACGTATATATATATATATATATATACGTTTATATATATATATATATATATATACGTATGTGTATGTATATATATATATATATATATATATATATGTCTATATGTCTTTTTAACCATCTTCAAAATGTGGTTGTCTTTTTAACATAGATTAGCATAGCATATAGCATATATTGAGGCTTGCTCAACTCTTATTGGAGCAGTCAGAGCAAAAAGGGGCGGGACTTAGGAAGGCTCCATTTAAGCTGACCTGACTGGAAACTGACAAAAACAAGTTAATTTAATTAATTCAATGAAATTGTTCAGTGTAGTGTGCGGTACAAATTCAGAAAATCAAAGAAAAAAAAAAATGGTTTCCATTCTTCACAATATGGAAAACAATCCTCACTCTGAAATGATTCATAGCTAAAAAATGTAATTTCTCAAACTATTTTTAGAATCATGCCACAAAATAGGACAAAAACAAATTCACAAAGCTGGGTTTCAGGTGGATAACTCTGTTGTTCTCTTTTAAATGCGAACAGAAAGATGGCGATGGCCCACTTAGACAATTTATTGCAACAAAAGGATGCGTGTTACTGAAAATCAGAATACAGGTGTATTAGAGTCACTTCTCATCAGCATGACAAAAAACAAGGAATGAAAAACAAAATAAAAGTCAAACTATAGATGGAAAACCACTGTCATATTACACACCTAGCTCTATTTTAAAGTTCACAGATTCACAGTTCACAGCTGAGTTTCTGAACACAGGGTGGACAGTTGAGTGATTAACTTTCACACCAAGTGGATGCATGCCATGCCGGGGAATGAGAATTGCGGCAGAAGATATGTAAATACGTACTGAGTTACTGCCGCCCCCTATCTATCCATGCCACTGTGGGAGTTCATAAGAATAGTATAATAGAATGAACCAACATTGTAAAGCGATGTTATTTTAACTCAAAAAAAAAAAAATTTGAAATGGATTACATAAAATTTTAAAAACACTAAACTTTGTAAGTTAAAAAATATATTTCTGATTAGCTTGACACGTTCATAGTTTTCTAAGTTGAAAAGCACTTTTTACTAGGTATTTTTCACAGTATAACATTTTCAAAATGTGTGTCACTAGAAGTGACTAGACTTTCCCAGTTTAAATGGAATGCCTTATTAGATATGCTATGTGCTAGGCTCATTTCAATCTTTAACATTGTTAAAAGATGAAAGCAACAATAGTCACAGTACCTGTTAACAATAGGTTACCTCACTTGCTAACTAACAATTTATGGTAAGAGTAGTTTTTACATTACAACAAATGATTGATGGAGATTAGCTACTTGATCAAGAATTTGTTTAACATACAAAATTGAGTTCATGTATAAGAGTTTCAACAATTTTCTGAGTATAATTGAGTTATGTGGTTTTACAGTGAGTAGACTGAATTAGCCACCAGCTTTCTAGATAACTTTATTTTATTGTCATCAATATTAATATCACTTCCATTCACATTTTTGCTGCCGTGGAGTGAAAAGCTCCACCGGACTGGGCATAATGACAGTAGTTTGAACATTTGGCACTGCTCTGGTAACAATAAGGACATTGAGGAAAGTGGGAGGACATTTCATTGGAAGGACTAATAACAATTCATGGAATCCACTGTGTGTGAGCCCAACTCAGAGTCTCTATTCTCCATCAGTAAGTAGGTCATGTTTAATGGAATGAAGTTAAAATACATGATACTTTTGTTCCGTTACCCCTCCACTACAAGAGCCGGCATAATCCTGGACAGGATCAGTAGAGTGTTGCAGGAAGTTAGCATCATCCTGGGTTCTTCTACCCACAGCCAATGGGAATTTTCCATTTGATTTTGGATTATTACAAAAAATAAACTCTGGTGAACAAAGGAACATGATAACATGGTGCATGTTTTGTTCAGCAAGATAATCTTCACAAATGAACACAACTTTTAAGATTTTTGAAGAGTAAAAGCGATCACCAGAAGTAAAAAGCTAATGTTAGGCTATGAACGAGCTACACCGCAGTCACATGACCTCAACGTCACCACCACCAAACTTCCAACTTGTAATTAAACCTTGTAATTAAAATCTACAAGTTGTAAAGTTTGAGTTAGAATAGTTTGCAAGAGCACAGGTATAAACACAATGAGGCTGTTAAGGTGGACTATTGAGTAGATAAGTCTAACCCACAGTCAACCTCAATAGTCTCTTTTAGCCACTTGGAAGCAAACGCCTTTGTTAAGACACAGAAAAACCACAGACTATTTCAGACATCTAGCCAAAAACTCATTAAGAAAAACGCATTGACTGAGATTAGGGAACCCGAAGTGCTAAAATGCTAACTCAGTTCCAGGTTTTAGGACTCATTCCTGCAGCACCTTATAGAGAATGACCAAGGAGACAACAATGACAGATTTATATATATAATAAGGGCTCATCATTTCAGATTTTTAATTTTTCCAGAGAAAAGAGAAAACAAAACAAAATAAAGTAAATATTTAGGAAATTTAAAATAAAAAATAAAAATAAATCCCCCACATAATACACCCCACAAAATTGTGTCTAGTTATAGCGAGACAACACAGCAGTTTCTGATAGCGTGGGAACTCTGAAAGTTGGTCAACACCGAAAACAATGAGCCTTACTGTATATATCATACACACCAGAAAAATTACGATGATCTGACAAAACCCCAAATCACGACTACTCACCAACCACCCTGCTTTACACAAGAAACCAACATGTAAACCCTGAAATCCCAAAATGTCCTCCCACCTCACTGGTGTTGAGACATCAGCAATGAACTGGGAGGACATTACAAAGAAAGCCCTCATTCTTGTACTTTCCATACAGTGATGAAATATTTGTTCGACTGTTCATTGAGAACATTTCAGTCACAATGAGCTATGAAGTGCTGGCATGCATCAAGAGACAACACTATGGAAGCTTGCACGTTATTCAGTCCCTCCAGAAAAACGCAGTTTTGTGATTGTTGTGGGCCAAAATCCTTGATTATGCGGCACGTTTTCTTAAAAAACGCGATGGAATATGCAGCAATTTTATGCGATGAAATTGCGGGAACTTGCAAAAATTGCGGCTTCATCGCGGGGTTTGCAGTATTTCGATGACGTTCATGTCGCGTAATTACCTCACTTCATAACGTTCCCATGGCAACAGGGGAAAATGGCTGCTCGTGTTAAGTAAACGCAACATTTTTCAACTTTCTAAGATATACGTGACTTTTTTTGCAACGAAAATGTGGGTATTATGAAATCATGCAAGCCCCGCATATTTAATATTTAAATTATGCGATCGCATTCTGGAGGGACTGATTATTTTACACAGTACAAAGCAAAAGTTGCTCCCTCATACATTTATAAAATGGCTCCAAATAAACATTTAAGTAGACAAATGTGTCCTAAAAAAGAATTAAACTGCTTTGTGCCATGATACATAAATGGAATTTTTAGAGATTTAGAAGTGATCATTTTATAAACATAAAAATGTGAGTTTGTGTGTTTGAGGACTCACCCATTCAATACACAGCTTTAAGAAATGCTTTTAAATATATGTAGAGCTATTCATCACTCATAAGAGTATTTCTCTGATACATAAGACGACCTGCACTTGTCACAGTGTATGACAAAATGTTTCACATCAGTAAAAATATTTTTTTACTTCAGTTGCTTGTAATTATTTTGGCAAGAGAATTTTGTAAAATATACAACAATATGATCAATTCATTACAATACAATAAACATTGAAATGGTTATCACCCAGTCCCACACATACAGTATGCAGTTTTTCCACTGCTGGTGCACTATTGACAGGAAATGATCCATGTATGGATTGCATATGTGGTCCATTATCTCTACAGGAAGTAACAGACCATTCACACAGTTGATGTGTAAACTATTGCAATCACTCAGTAATATTACTGCAAGGCATTTAGAAAAAAAGCTCCTATTGCATGTCCTGTTGTCCTGTCAGTGACTGAGGCTATTTGTCCTTCTCCGCATTAAAGCTGCAGTATGTAATTTTTATAAAAATAACTGTCATTTTTTCACTATATCCTGACAGTAGTACATGAGACAGATAATCTGTGTAAAAACCAGGTTCCTCTGGCTCCTCTTAGTGCTCCTCATGGAATTTGAAAATAATCCACCAGGCCTAAATGAAGACAACCAAATAGAGGTAAGAAAGATGGAAAGACACTTTGGGTTGTTGGCTTAAAGATAGTTGAGTCTCTATCGATACTTGACAACCTGGGAATGAGACTCAACAATCTGCTATAATTCTTGGCTCTGATTGGTTGTTTCTGGTCAGGCCCGGTAGATTCTTGCAAATACCATTAGGAGCACTAGGAGGAGCCAGAGGAAAATTGAGGGATTTAACGAGTAACACTGAACAAGTAATCATGACATCAAACCATCTGATGTGAGGCAGCATTTGGGACTCGACATCAGATGTGGAATAATTGTTTTGTTCCCTTTTTTAAAATGCATCTGCCTTGCAGTAACGTTAGCATGGCAACAACTGTCAAAGATCTCCTCCAGACATGTATTAAGACATATATACAAACGGTCTGCTTGTAACACTTATGTGTGTCTGCAAATAAAAAAGTATAATTTCCACATTAAAATCCTTAAGTAATCTCCTCCTTCCACCTCATTAAAACCTCCAGAATCTATGAATATACAAATGTTGTTGATTTCTAAAGTTTTCCTGCTGGACATAAGATGTCTCCTACTTCACTGTAAAGTCCATTCTCAGTGGATGTGCACTGGTGGCTTCAAGTTTCTACTTCACACTGTTTCGAGTTGCTTACTGGACCAGGATGGACTTCCAGACTAGAGAAACTTTCCTCTTTCAGCAGATGAATGTGAAAACATCCTTCTAGAGTCAAACTCTGCACATACAGCATTCAAACAGCACACTGTAGAGACAGGAAGAGACACTGATTTCTGACTGGACGGGGCTTTGAGTCAACTGTTGTCTCTCAGTAAGAGAATTAATGGAGAAATGTTTTGTGAATAGGCTATGTGTGTTCCATTACAATAAGTTTGAACAAATTATGTATTTGCAGTTGGTTTATACTAGTTCATTCGTTTGAACTTTATTTTTGAAATAAAAGACAGCCACACAAGTTTAGCGGTACCATATTTTTGTTAGTTTTTGTGAAAAAGAGTGCAATACTACTGCTGGACTTATCTTTATCATACATGGCAGCACATTTTCTGTGTAATCTATCGTCTAATAGTAACTATGTATGTTGTTTACACCTCCATTCCACTGGACACTGCTCTGACATCACTTGGTCCCACTTCATACCCCACCGGGAGTGTTTCAAGAGTGTTTTGCACGCCAGATCTTTTTTTAACTTTCTCAGATTTGGTTCATTTTTGGCATTATTCCTTGAGAGCATTCCATTGGGAGCAGCGTTACTCTGGAAACTCAACCATGCAGTTGCTGAATCTATCTTCATCTTGGCTGTCGATCTAAAATGAAGATTGATTCATGCAACTGCATGGTTCATTTCTCGCCTCAGATGTTTTCAGAAAACACACTTCAGTGAATTATTTTCGGAATGTAACGAGCTGCCATGTTGGTCTAGTTAGAAATCCCAGGCCAGAAAGCGTTCATCCAATCAGGTGCAGCCAGAAAGTGTTTGCATGGTAAGAGAGCCTTTTGTTGGTCAATATGAGTGTGCAATGCTGGGAAGTGCCAAAAAATGTCCCCCTGGACACAGACCATGATTCTCGGCAGAGAGCCACCTCACACTTCTGAAACACAGCGGCATTCTTGTGGAACCAAAGCACTGACTAGAAGGGTGGCCGGTGGAATCAAGGGTTGCTACCACGCATCCATTAGTACAATCAACAAAACCATCTTCAGGATTAACACTTAAAGTTGCAAAGACAAGAAGATAATATTGAATTGAAGTTAATAATTAAATCAAGGTTAAATCTACTACCTGTTGATTAAGACATCAAATGACCAAGTAAGTGCAAATTGTGGAAATCTCTTGGCTAAAAAGGATTTACCTGATTACAGACAACACTCGAGCCCCAACAAGCTGGATCTCACAAGTAAGGGGCCACAGGAAATGAGCCGATTGGCATTCGCGGCTGGTTTCAATTCCTGAACAAGGATTTTGGTGATCTCTGTTAGAAGAAGTCATACTCTTCTTCTTTTGATAAGATGTGAGTACAGAATTTCAGACAAGAGGAAGCACCATTCACATCTCTATAGGAACTCGCACTTCCTTTTCCGTACCACACATACTGACACTCAAACGGTCAGAACTTATATGACTTTTACAGCGCACAACAGCCAAATAGTAAAGCAGCAGAAGCTTTTAAACACTGTAGGTGGTACAGGTCTAACCGCTATCATGGCACACGTGATATTCTGTGTCCACCTCCCGCATACAGTGGGGACATTTTCTTTGAGAGAAATAAAAGCCTGGGCCTTTTTTGCATAGTTTTGGCTATCATTCCAATCAGGTAAGAGAATGTTTCACTCACTCACACAAGCTAAATGTTTGTTTTTATGTTCAAATACAGGAAACAGTTCCTGGTCCATATGGATGTTTAACGTTCACTTCCAGATTCTGATCCTCACATATCAGCACTGCATAAAATGTTCCACAAAAATAAAAAATGTTCCTCTCAATTGATTGATTTTGGGATGAACTGTCCCTTTAAAAAGGTGATAGGAATAATGCCAGAAACTAGAAAAGAAAGACCCGCATTTCTACAAAAAAAAAAAGATTTTAAAGTTGTTTGTACTTCAGAGAAAGAATGAGCCACCACCACAAGCTTCCCTAACCACAACTACCAAATTCTACACCCACCCAACCCAATCGTACAAAAATAAGAGCTGACAGTAAAAAATGTAGAGCTCAGCGATTTGTTAAACATTTAAATGTCACTGTGGAACGAGTGAAGTCAAACACAGTTCAGACTTATACTTTTTAGCAAGGACAGGGCAGCAAGTGAATTCACCACTAGTCAAATATCAAGAACTGGACACTGTCTTTTTAGATGCATATCTTAGCTCCCAACACTACAGGTACTGGGTGTTCAGACTGCCCACAATAGGTGGCTGAGTTAGTGCGTAAGGTTCAGGTGAGATAACAGATCCAGAGTTTGAAGGTTTATTAGGGGCCAAAACGTGAGGCAAGATTAAAGCTGCCAGAGCCCTGTGCACACGGGGCCCCAGAGCCTGGACTTCGATAAAAATGGTCTCTTTGATGTTTGAGACAGTGGTGGAATACAGATTAATCTGTTCATTTAGCTCAGTACAGACTGCTATACTAGTTTTGATGTTAGAGCTACAGAGCTAAATGAACAGATCATTCTTTATCTGCTATCTTCATAAACAGGGCAGATTTTTCAGAAGGTATTCAGCCCGTTGTATCATAGACTAGTGACCAGCATGTGAGAGCCTGTGTGAGACTCGGGACTACCGCTGTCTGACACGCACAGACACACGCATTCAAACACACACACATTGACAAACTGACAGCATTAGTGCAGCACAGAGAGCGACGGGTCCTGAGAGGAGAGAGGGGCGGTCACTTGAAGGCTGACTGCAGCTCTTTGAAAGCGGCGCGTCTCTGTTTCTGCTCCTCCGCCTGCTTCTTCTTGGCCTCCTGCTCCTGGCGGATCTCTGTCTCAAACCGGTTGGACTCATTGATGGCCTGGACCTGTCCAACAGGAAGACACACAGCTGTCAGGTGACGGAGCATAGCAACAGTGCAGCTCCTCAGCCAAAGAATCAGGTTCAAAGACCCATTGCCTGTAAGGCTCAGGGCTTTGTAAGGAAGCTTCATCCTGTGGGTAGCAACAACATTGTGGATAGCAACTTCAAGTCCATATTCTACCATTTTCATGCGTAACTACTGGATTCTGAAAACATGGTTGACCTCAGAAGATCTGAACATAGAAACCTGATGCTTAGATGCTTACCTCGAAGGTAACTTGCATGCATATGTCATTTTGTGTGCATATGTTTAGTATCGCTCTTTTTCTAAAACTGACTGACACAGTGTACTATGAAAAGTTTGGTGTCATCTTACTTTGGCTTCAAAGAAGGTCTTGGCTCCTTTGACCCCCTCTGTGGAGACATCGATTTCAGAGAGGCGAGCAAGGGCGCAGAGGCCGCTGTCCTCTGCCAGCTCTCCTGCTGCTGCCTTCCTGAAGATCAGCAGGAACTGAGGGGCACAGGAAGAACAGAAAGATATGGATGTAAACAAAACGGAATATCACATAACGTGACTGATTCCAATCCAGTTTTCCTGCATTACCTCTCTGAAGCTGAGCTTGTTGTCCAGGTCCTCGTCCACCTCCTTGATCATGTTCTTCAAGCCGAGGTGTGTCTGTGGAGCTCCAAGCTTCTCCATCATCAGCTTCAGCTCCATCAGGTCTATGTAGTTGTCCTTTCCAGCATCAAACCTTGACAGAAACAAGTAGAAAACTGGTGTGTTAGATAACTGCATTTTGACCAAGGTTCCAAAGGGGGGGGGGGGCTTTGAATGGTAAATGGACCTGTACTTGTATAGCGCCTTTCTAGTCTTCTGACCACTCTAAGCGCTTTTGCACTACGCGCCACATTCACACGCATTCACTCAGTGATGGAAAAGCCCATCAAACAGAAACTAACGCATTCACACACATTCACACACCGATGCACAGCACCAGGAGCAATTTGGGATTCAGTATCTTGCTCAAGGATACTTCGACATGTGGCGGGAGGAGCTGGGGATCGAACCAACAACCTTTCAATTAGTGGACGACCTGCTCTGCCTCCAAGCCACAGCCGCCCCATGGCAGTGTAACATAACCCAGCCCTTGGGCATGTTTGGGTCATCGAACTCTAGCAGCCTCTCTGGTTTGTTTAGAAAGCTGGTCTGGCCGCGTGTATGTGTTAGTGGATGCAAGTTCCTCCATTTCCAAATAGAGCGACTGAAACTGCTGTTTTTCCTCATCTATGTTGGTGAATTAAGGATTTATTAAACCAAAGTTTAAAAAGTTGGTGATTGTTGGAAAGTCAAACAAAGAATGACGTTATGATGTTACAATGCACCAGTGCACCAAGGCAAATTCCTTGTATGTGAAAGCTTACTTGGCAATAAACCTGATTCGGATTCTGACAATGATAAAATTACATTTTGTAAACAAAGACCTATCTCTGTAGGGATCCTTTCCATAATGTTGTCAGACACCAACAATCTGAGCCCGTCAGTGGCAAAAACAACTTTTAGTGGATGTACTTTCATGGGCACATTTATACCCAGAGATTGGCCCGTTTCATGGCTATTTTCTCATCTAGCTCTGTAAATTCATAGTTTATTCCAACCAAACCCACATGTGATTGTGACTGACTGTGGAAAGACTTACAAAGACGGTTTTGGGGAGTTTTATTTTGTTTCTGTCCAGTTTGTAGTCTGTTTTACGATTATCTGCTACATAAAATTACTATTTTTGTCTCGTCAGCCATGTTGCTCTAGTGCGACATCTAGTGGCAAGTAATTTTGTATACATAACCTTTAAAATATTACTTACTTACAAATACCACACACTGAGTAATAAGATCATAAGTACTCCATTACTGAAAATATTAAGTGTTAAACTGTTCACTTACCATAAAGGCAACTCAACATTCAAGTTTCCATAAGTAATACTATAGAGCAGGGGGGTCGCGAAAGTTTTGGTTGATTAGACTTTTTATAATCCCCCCGCAATTTTTTCCACAAATTGAAATGTCTTTAAATACACATTAACATGAATCCAACACACTGTAGTGAAGAGATAAATGGAGGCATAAGATGTCTTTCAGTCAGCAATGCACACATTCAGCGACACACAGGAGCTCTTTCAAGCCCCACACACACACACACACACGAGCTCTTTCAAGACACACACACACACACGAGCTCTTTCAAGCACACACACACACACACACACACACAAGCTCTTTCAAGCACACACACACACACACACACACACACACACACACACAAGCTCTTTCAAGACACACACACACACGAGCTCTTTCAAGACACACACACACACACACACACACACACAAGCTCTTTCAAGACACACACACACAAGCTCTTTCAAGTCACACACACACACACACACACACACACACACACACACACACGAGCTCTTTCAAGACACACACACACACACACACACACACACGAGCTCTTTCAAGACACACACACACACACACACAAGCTCTTTCAAGACACACACACACACACACACACACACACACACAAGCTCTTTCAAGACACACACACACACACACACACACACACACACAAGCTCTTTCAAGACACACACACACACACGAGCTCTTTCAAGACACACACACACACACACACACACACACACGAGCTCTTTCAAGACACACACACACACACGAGCTCTTTCAAGACACACACACACACACGAGCTCTTTCAAGACACACACACACACACGAGCTCTTTCAAGACACACACACACACACACACGAGCTCTTTCAAGACACACACACACAAGCTCTTTCAAGACACACACACACAAGCTCTTTCAAGACACACACACACACACACGAGCTCTTTCAAGACACACACACACACACACACGAGCTCTTTCAAGACACACACACACACACACGAGCTCTTTCAAGACACACACACACACACACACACACGAGCTCTTTCAAGACACACACACACAAGCTCTTTCAAGACACACACACACGAGCTCTTTCAAGACACACACACACACACACGAGCTCTTTCAAGACACACACACACACACACACGAGCTCTTTCAAGACACACACACACACACACGAGCTCTTTCAAGACACACACACACACACACACGAGCTCTTTCAAGACACACACACACACGAGCTCTTTCAAGACACACACACACACGAGCTCTTTCAAGACACACACACACACACACAAGCTCTTTCAAGACACACACACACACACACAAGCTCTTTCAAGACACACACACACACACACAAGCTCTTTCAAGACACACACACACACACAAGCTCTTTCAAGACACACACACACGAGCTCTTTCAAGACAGACACAAGCTCTTTCAAGACACACACGAGCTCTTTCAAGACACACACGAGCTCTTTCAAGACACACACACATTCAAAATGTGCAAAAGTGGCAAGTGTAAAGTGGTCGCAGTCTTTCTCTTCAGCAGAGGCACATAGCACGATGTTGGGTTTGCAGAGGGAGGGATGAAGATGTTGATGATGATATGCAGGATCTCTCTCAGTAGATGTTTTGGACAGAGTCCAACGGCAGCAGTTCATCATCCGGGCCACAGAGCAGTTTGCTCTCGGTACAATACCGGTCTGTCTGGTCGGTGTGTAGGACATGGACGGTCCGTAATGTCTCAGTGAAACACATCAGATGAACTCCCGGTTCTCTACGGGGCTCCGCTTTAAAAGGGACAATTCACCCGTTTGCATTAAGCTTTGTATCATTAGAACCCCAGTCATATTTTTGAATGGTCGTGCATCATTCCCTCACTTCCCCTGAGAGGGGAGAAATACGGATGTTAGTGTTGCACTTCCTGCTTCCAATGATGTAAAAATCGTCATTTTGCGTCATTGGAAGCAGGAAGTCTCATATCTCTGTAGAGGGGGTGAGACTACAAACACTACTTCCTCATTTTTTTTTACTCACGCTACAGACCTATTACAGATCAGTGGGTGGGACTTCACCTGCAGAAACTAAAAAATATAACAGTCATCTTGTTTGGAAGCTAAGCGGAGGCGCTGTCGAGCCAGATGTTACGACTATGGTAATCAATGTAATATGGAAGAAATTTCGAAAGTATGATGGTCGAATCAGATGTTCGTGGCTTTATGAGCCGCAATATAGCGAGCAGCGGCTGAGGCTGCTGGAGCCGAGGCAGAGGACCTGCCTGTCGCGGACGAGGAGCCCGGACTGGCTCGAGCTGGGGCGGACTGCTGGTGCCTGTGCTCTCGCTGTGCGCCTACGGACACACGGACGTCTGACTGTAAAGTGAGTGTTTCTATTTTCTTTCTTATGACAAAGTGGCATGTATGTACACAATTTGTTCAAGCATTATCACAAAGTTATTATGTTAATACGTAACGTCAGCCAACTGAACTAACGTTAACTTCTTTACTGCACAAACAGCTTGCAGTTGCATTGCTAACTACTGTGGCACGCTAAACACAAAGACCATGCATCGCTAACTGTGTGCTCAATGTCTTGTAGACAATATCGCCTAACAGCCTTTCTGGGGTCCTGCAAGGCGAGAGATTGGGTCGAGGCCATCGTGTCGTTTTACCCACTGATGTGGTGCAGGCTATCCAACAGAAACATCCAGCTCCAGATGGCCAGTACTGCGGGCACCGAGACGTTGAGGACGCTCAGGAGGAACTATAACTGTCATTGTTAACATATTTTTTTTTTTTTTTTTAAAATTTTGTTGATGTAGTCCTTGATAGTGTTAGTGGGAGAGGCTTGCGGAGCTGTGCATTGTGGGAGTTGTCTTTTATACAAATGCGCCCTAAAGTCACTTTCTGTCTTTTCTCGGTCAAATAGGCACCAAATTCAAAATATGTGTTACATTTCGACTACATATATAACCCACTTTCAATAAATATTAATGTTTCCAAGGGTGAAATGCTCCTTTAATTCCGTTAGTAGTTCATCTTGTTTCTAGGAGACCATACATTGACCATAACAAGAGAGGGGAGACTCTGCTTAAATCTTCTCCATAAACCCGTCCCGTTTCCACCTTCCTCTCTTCCCCCGACGTTGCTTCCCTCCTCTGCATCCCCGGTGTGTTTCCTCCAGAGTTCAGGTGGTAAATCAGCTGCTCTGTCCACGGTACCGGCCGGCATTAGTGCCATCAGCTGTTCTCCGGAGTAAACAACGGCAGCGTGTCCCGGTGGAAGAGACATTAAAACACGAAATAAAACACAAAAACTCTCTCAAACAACATCGTTAGAGAGGACAGGACTTCAGAGAGTTACAGTGAAAAAATAAGAACGAACAAAAAGAGAATAAAAGTTAAGAAGTTAAAAAAGCAAACTCAAAGGCTGGAGTAACGTAACAGGCAGCATGCAGCTTTCCCGCCCCTATCGCTGCTGTGCCAATCACAAGGCTGTATGTGACACGCTGGCTCTGTCAGTTTCCCCGTCATTGGCCGAGAGCCCATTCTTATTATGCTAGCAGCTAGTGCTTATGTTTGGATCGAAAAAATAAAAAAATTGATCGTTTTGTAACACGACAAAAAAAAAAACACAAGTACAAAAGAGATAGGCCTTCCCTCCACCTCAGAAACCGCAGGGGAAAACAAAAGTGACGATGTACCCGCTGTAGGCCCCGCAGCTGTAAAGGGTAAGCGTAAAAGAGAGAAGACCCGAAAATATACAGACAATTATCT